GATCATGATGAGATTGCAGTGCATCACTGACTATTGGCCAACATAATCACTATCATTCACTGGAAACTCCTAGTTTAATCCTAACAGGCCCATTAACTTTTTAAAGTTGTGTCTTCTTGCACTCCAAGGTAGAGCCATTTACAAAACAAGAATGTGTTTGTTTTCTCATTCCATTTGTCACTGTTTGCTATTTTTAAACAAAATTACCATATTCATTGACATGATTCGTGAATAATTCGCTAAAGAAATCAGTGACCTTGTGAAAAATAAATGGAATTTTTATCAGTCTTAAAAATGTCAAACACGTTACATAAGTGTTTGACATTAAGCATAATAGTCAAAGGTCCTTGTCATGACCCTAAAATTAAGACTGACAGGACTCCTTGATTTCAAATACTACATAATAATTTTAGGCCAAATCATTATTGTACATTTGGAGTTCAGATTATCTTAATTTTTTTAATGTCCTGCCTGGGACAATCAAGGTTAGATTTGGTCTTCAGCAACCTATGCTTAGGGCAACTAACAGGATCAGGTGGTCAGGATCAGGTGGTCAGGCTTACCGACTTGGTTGATTGCAATTACGTAGATCAATGCTCATCACATGTCAATCACTGGATTGTCTGGTCCAGACTTGATTATTTCCAGACCGCCATCATATATGAGTACAGTGTAAAATAACAAGCAATCAGTCAAAACACAACAAACATGTTAATGTACAGTCATCTGCACACCTCAAAAACCGACATGGTGATGAGCATATATATCAGGGCCATCAAGTCATTGTCCGTAAGTATGTTAGCTGCATTATGTTTAGCCACACTGACTTCGCAGTCATATGGAGAATATTGTTTTCCAACTTGCTTCCCACGCCTTGGGCCAAAGACTACTTGTTACATAAGAGAAAGGTTTGTTGTGTTGTTTCTCACAATATTGTTTATTCAGGGTTTTATTTGTATGCATTAACATGATTAAAATTTAGGATGAATGCAAATAACTTGCACTGAATGTTTTATAGGACATGAGAGATTGTGACTGAATCACTGAAACTAATTCAATTGCAGTTGACATGTTAGAACTGAGACTTCTATTCAGACCAAATATGCAATCAATTATGTGTGACAGTCCAGATTTTCCACATGGTGACCCATCCCTAAATTTCAGTTCCAAATAGAAAATCCCCATCTATGATGAGATGTATTTGAAATTTAGCATGAAAGTCAAGTGGTCTTTGTCCATGTTGTCACTGCCCTATGCTAAAGTTAAATGTCCCAGGCAGTCAGGGACCTGTATGGCATACCGTCTAGGCTTTATGGAGGGTGTGAGTGAGTTGTATTTAACGCTGCTTTTAACAGTATTCCATTCATTATCACGGCGTGTCAGCTTAATGTGGGAGGAAAGCCTGACATGATACAGGTCTTAGATGTTTACCAATTCCGTCAAACCCACGAGCGCAGGTATGGTGCTGACAAACCTAGACACATTATCGGGGCGAACTGGGATTCGAGCCCACAATTATCGGTTTCTGGCGTGCCTAAGGGATGCGACTCTGCACAGCGAATTGCGGTGCCTTAGACAACAGAGCCACCTGTGGCCCCCTAGGCTTTATGACTACCTACTTATTACATCTAAATGTGCACATGGTGCAACCAAAACAAATCCCCCATAACAGGACCTGGATCCAGCAAAGGACAGGCTGCACAAACACCATATTTCATATTATAATTACAGTTGGTACAGTGGTTACCTCGGGATGTTCATATTTGTATGCAAGCATTTAAAACCTAATCGGTTAATGAGGATTGGTTTTGCATATTTTATGCCATTACACAGCTTATCTGGAATTCTGATACATCATGTGACATATCATGTATATATGGCAGCTCAGGCATGCTGAGCTCTGCTGAATGTTAACAGTCCATTTGTCATGTTCAGGTCACACCATGCAGACAATTACTGCAATTAAAATTAAACTTCACAAAAATAAAATCCCACTTGAACGTGTTGAACAGATGTTCTGACTCATATGTAGTGTGTGGAAAGATCACAATTTAAAACTTGTCCATGGAAAAGTAAACAGTAAAAATTCAAAATTCAATTTCCAGAGGCAAATTCTACTGGTTCAGAGTATTGTCTGAAAATAGTACTTTATCACATTCAAAACCATTATGACGATGATGATCATGCACTTGTTGTTGCAGCTGATACTGAGGCATTCACTGGCCATTCTGAATGTGTAAAATTGAGGCCACTAATAATACAGGTCATTATGCAAAATGATACAGAAATTATATATCAACATGATCAAGTATAACATGGTATGAAATCAGAAAAAATCACTCATATCTGCTGATTCTGGAAGCCCTTTGGAGCCTGTTGATTCTACTTCAGGAATCAACTGATCCTCATGATTTCTCCATTATAACAGAATGAGTAAGCAATGTCATTGTGAATTGTTTACTGCCTGCAATTTTCATTTTGATGTTGATAAATCAGTTTTCATATCTCTGTGTGTTTTCCCGGAATAATGAATTAAACAATATACATGTACACTGACTTCGGTTGGATTGGTCATACAAACAATGTTACACTATATTTAGTACTTATTACAAGTATTTATCACAATTTACCACAGGAATGTTACATGTCACATTGTGAAGGTTCTCTACAAACAACTGAAGCTGTTATTTGTGTTTGTCCAGCGATCGCAGGTAATGAGTTGGGCAAGTCAGGCAAGTCTGGATCTGATTTTCCACATCCTCAATCCACCAATATGAATGCCTTTAGTAGTTTCAAGGCCTTTTTTCAATGATGACACTTTTAAAAGCTAAAATGCCAATTATGTCCTTTCTTATTGACTCATACATGTTATAAGGGTATTCTTACTTTCTTTCATTGTCTGAATAGGTCCATTTGTACATCCAAATACATATTAAAATGTCCACCTCCACACACCAGTGTTTCAAATCAAATAAGCTTCATGGATGGAGTTACGGGTCAAACTTTTGTTACACCATCACACATCATTAGAGAAACATTAACTGTAGTGTCAATATATGGAGGTTCTTGTAATATCTGTGTTACTAAAAACATATCAGTAAAATGTTAAACAGTGGCACATCTTCATATTCACATAAAAAACAACTTTTAAAAATTAGCTAAAATAAAATGCACTAGGGTGTGATGAATGACGGAATTATGATGTATTCTGTCTAAATAAATACCAGAATATCATGTATATCACTAGGATTTAAAATTTTTGTGATTTCAGTTTCAAGAGAATATTTACCTATCTGACAATCTAACATAACACATGGAGCGTGTCAGACATCATGATCATGATATTTCCACACCAGTGATCTTGCAATTCACTCTTGTGGGTTAAGTACCAGTGCGACACATTTTTGGTTACAAGCCAGCTATTGAGTGTGATCTGTCAACATGGACAAGATCTGTTAGATTTACTGGATGATACTGCAAATGAATAAAGTCTTATTGACAGCTTGACCCATGATTGACCCATGTGAATAATATCTCATATACACCTTGAAACAAAGATATCCAACATTATTTTCAGTTTCCGGAATCAAAATGAAGAAATTTTCTGGACTCCTTTCTATTATACATATATCATGAAAAGACAATTAAAGAAAACAAATCTTAAAGTATTTTTATTTCAGAGACAAAATGTAAGTCCACCATTTGAACTTCTTTTTCTTAGAAGAACTACACTTTACTTTTTTGGATTTCAGTTAGAACTGGGTGGAGGATTGAACACACATGGCCACATCAACGCTAGGCTAATGTGTTAATCTAACCAGCCAACACTTACCACAGTAACATGGTCACTGTCACAAATAAATAGTGTTGTTTACCAAATGATCACCACCTGATTGTTTACATTTATGAGCATGCATAGAAAAAACGAAACTTGATAAAAATTGTATGGATTTTCCTCAAATTACAAATTTACATTAGATTAATTCGTTACAGCCAGCTAATTGATATATAGTAACCTGTTTACATCAACAAAATCTTGTCATTCACTTTTCAGAGGATTGTAATGCTTTTCAATTGCATACAGAGATTTACAGACTGAAATCTGCTTGACATGGCACTTGCCTTCATCATGTTCATGCAGACATAAAATAAACAACACGATGTGACTCAAACAATGTTAACTAATGATGACAAATGGATCAATAAATCAGAGATGGAGAACATGTTTGTAATTGTAAATGTCAAATTGAAGTTGAACACATGCAAACATCATGTTATAGGTTAGTTGGACCATGTTGGTTCATACTTTCAATATCACAACAAAAATCATGGCTGATTTGTTTAGCAAGGTTTTATCTTGGGGCAGGAAAGTCATGCATACTGGCAATACTGACAGAAACAAACACATTTATTATTTTGGCCTTTATTTCTTTCTCAAAATATGAAGAGTCAAAATAAGTTTAGGTCGACTATGGCTGTGACATTTTGTCAAACAGACTTTACTATCATGCGAGATGTAACTTAACTTGAAACATCTTCAATCATGAAAAGTGATAATATAAAGACAGTACGACACAGACCAAAATATGTGAAACAATATTTTCTATTTGTTCTTCAGATACCTTTAACATTAGACTTGTGCTAGTGAGCTAGTGCAAAGTTACATCCCTGTTATTTAAAACATGACTTTTGTTCCTTTGGAAGTAGTTTTTGACAGCATGTTTGGTTAAAACGTGTGTTGTCATTATTTTGATGTTTGCCAGTCATGACATTAACCTGTGGAAATTCGAGACAGCAAATCTATCTTATACTACACATACCTTCATATCTCTTTATTGGACAAAACCGATATTAATTAATCATACAGGCATGGTCTTACTTTGATCACTAACTGTCATCGACAAAATTATAAGTACTGTTTCGTGACATTATCAACATCTGAAAATAACATTTGCCATTACATTTTGGATACACGTATATGTCATAATGTTACAACTTACCCTCAGGTACTTGAAATTATATATTCCAGTAAAAAGAATTCCATTGTATTCTCATGTTGGTTGAAATATCGCAATATTAGGCCTGGTTAACATTTCGTTTCATCGGACTCGACACCTTCTTTTCAGTGTTTGGGCTGTGGGAATCTCGTTCTGGCGAGATTTGGCAAAACATGCCATATCATCATAAAAATAGCAACTAATCGCTTTATATCCTTGACTTACGACAATGATATGTGGAAAATATGATTTAATATATATTTAAAACAATAATTGTAAAATAAAACAAAAATTATTATGCTGTGACCTTGACCTTTAGGGTGGGTAAATTGTAAACTTGGTGCCCATTGGTTGATTTCAATTTGTACGCCATTTTGCCGCCATTTCAGTCGAAAATCGTAATGTCTGACACCGAAAAAACCGATGTTGCCCCTCAAAAGGAGGTATTAAATGGGCTTGTCTTCAAGTGCATTTTATTTTATACAAATATGTGAATACAGAAACCGAATTTGGTATAATATGCCATGGTGGTTTCTGAGATATCGTTAGTTAAAATCGACACATTGCCACACGCCGTCAACACGTTGTTTTTATTTTCAACACATTATTTTGGAGAACTACGCATGTTATCTTATGTAGCAAGACGATCAGTTTCGTATGTCAGGAAACGAGGAACCATTACTTGATGTTATTATTACGCGTTGATCTGAATTAAGTTGCCTTTTCTGTTTTGTTTTGGCGTCGATAGGATTTTAAACCAAGCGACATGAATTGATCTGTATTGTTCATAGGAATGATGCACGAACACTATATATCATTAGAATCTAGAAACAATTAACCCGCCAAGTGTTTCTACAAAGCTCAAGCTTTTCGAAAATTTGTACATAAAACTATGACATAGTCTGTTGTTTACTTCTTTGAACAAAATTTGGAGCTGGTGTAAACTCCATTTTGCAAGTTGCTGATGCTTTTTAACACTCATCTTTTGTCATGCCAGTCTCCTACAGGTTGTTTATGAGAGAAGATTAATATTTTGCTGTGAGCTTTTACTATTTGTAGGTATCTGATTGTAATGTGATGATTGTGTATAAAATATTGTGTGAAAAAGTAAACAATTAATGCACAAACACTGCATGAAGGGAATGTTGATCACTATTTTGGCACACAATAAAAAAGATTGAAGGTTAGGGGACAAGCTCCTCTAGTTCAGGAAAATGCCAATTTTTAATAAAAATTATGAGTTTTATGGGAACTGTAGTTTGTATTCCAAGATATAAAAGGGCTAGTAAGTACCATATATGTGATGCAAATCGATCACTAAAGACATGTGCATGCAATCTGAAAAGGTTACATTCGTGTTATACCATTGGTTTTTAAAATTTTCTATGCATATTTACACCTAAGTGACTACAAATTAACTGGGATATGGTGATTTATTTTGTGTATGTTATGCATAGCTTATATGGCGCTCTATGATGTTTGTTAAGGTTAGGCTTGACAGGGTTAAAGGTATATTGATGCATGAAAGTATGTTTCATTTGTATAATACTTAGATTATGTTGATTATGTTAATCTGACGCATGGAAATTACTGCTTTCTGAGAACTGCAAGGACTTGCAAGCTTAATCATTAATAATAAATGATTTGGGTAATTATGTTCAGATTTTAAACAAAGTTGCACACCAGCTGAGACCGTTGGTCTTTGAAACCAGTTATGTTCTATGTTCAAGTTTATCAACAGTTGATATAGAAACATTTTTGTCATGGTTTTGTCCCTAGACTAGAATTTTGCTTGGGAATGTTATGTGTGAGACATATTGTTTCCTCTCTCACAGAAGGAAGATGTAGAAGAAGAGGCTGATAAGTTGAAAGACGAAGAAGAAATGGACGAACTTGAAGATTCAAAAGAATTAGAAGAAACTGACACAAAAGAAGAGGAAGAGGAAGAAATGGAAGAAAAACCTGAATCAAAGCCTGAGCCAGTGGAAGCATCCCCCAAGAAGTCTCCAAAGAAGAGAAAAAAGGTGGAAAAAGAAGAAGAAGATGATGAAGAAGAGGAAGAACTGCCATGTAAGCTATAATACTTTTTTTCACTTTTGTTACAAACTACAAGTGAGAATGGGGGATTAAGAACTTGCAGCATCCACAGGGATATGGACATTGAAAAGATTTCATAGGCAAACCATTTGTTAAAATCTGCTTGTCCAGATTTGAATGTTTCTGGTTTTTATAGACCAGGCCCCTATTCAACATAGTGATCTGAGCACTACGATTGTCGCAAGTCAGTGTAAAAGTATGAGTTTTCAGTGTTTCTGTTCTCCGGAGTATTCCGGATATTGACGGGGGCTTGTAAATTTGAGGGTTGACGGCCCCCGTGTCCAGCAGAAATGTCCATTAAAAAAAGCCTGTCATATCCTGTTAATTACTGTAAACATTAAATCACTCAATTTTCTATAACTTTCTATTAGCAATCCTGGTGCTAAAAACAATGCATAATTTGAGCCAATAATAAAATAATTGTCCATCACTGCGACAGTGATGTTTTGGGTTTTTATGTGATCTACAAACATCAATAACTTCATATACGCTGTTGTAAAGAAGCTAGATTATCCGAAAGCATACTTGACATTATGTTAAAATGGCATCAGAAGATGTCTGTGATTGGTTGACATGATAATGACATCACAGAGATAACCAATGGTGACCGCGCTAGGAGTGATTTTGGAAGATTCAAAAGTACTATCGCTGGCCTTGGTACTATTAGTTTTGAGCAAATCCAGACACCACTTATTTAGCACCCGTAACCCTCACTGTTCCAGTCGGGACGATAACTGGAATAAAATGTTAAAAGCGGCGTTAAATCCAACTCACTCACTCACTCACTCACTCACTCACTCCAGTCGGGACGGTCGGGTAGCCTAGTGGTTAAAGTGTTTGCTGGTCACGCCAAAGACTCAGGTTTGATTTCCGACATGGGTACATTTTGTGAAGCCCATTTCTGGTGTACCCTGCCATGATATTCCTGGAATATTGCTAAAAGCGTCGTAAAACCATACTCAGTCATTGTTCCAGTCAGCAGTGTACCAACTGAACGTGGGTTTGCCTACAGAGTTGTGTTCATGCTGCTTCTCCCAAAACACCTCAATCAAAGTCGTCGGGACAAGCTGATGGTATTAAATATGCAGGCCAATGAGCCCAACTCTCATACCCTTGCTGTTGCATATTAACTCCTTCTGAAATAAAAAAACCCCCGAAAACTCTGAATCAACACATTACAATGTTTCTATATCAATTTTAATATCCTCCTGTACCTTATTTTCAAACAGTTAAGAGGACATTGCTGATAATAGTGAATCAGAACTTAAATTTGTGTTCATACCAGTAGTGGATGTCTTCATCAGCAGAATGATCTCTATTGCCTCGTCTATAAACTTCCGTTGCACTCGAGTGACGTCACCTGTTGTTGAACACCTAATTGTTTTGTTACTTTCGCGAGGTTTCCATGAATGAATTATTAGCGATCTGGGACTGGCAAATACCGATATTTTGGTTTGCTAGCAGCCCACATGACCGGCAGATAAAATGCCACCAGAAACACTGGGTTTGATTGTCTTGGTGCTAAGCTTGTATGTTGAGACTATTTCTGTTAAGTCTGGATCTGGACCGGAGGTACAACTCAAAATTCTTTTCAACAAGTTGCACCCCAGGGATGTTTGTATTGTTAAGGGAAGACTAACAAATAAACTAATCACATGAATCAGAAGTTTGACTTTCCAAACTCCATGCTATCACTCCACTACAATGCAAAGAATACATGAACTAAGATTAATACTGTCTTGAACATGTTTAAGTGGCATATTAGAAGCTGTATTTCAATGAAGACGCAGTTGATACGATTTCAACTTCTTCGTACTTTTCAAGCAAGTGATAAACATGATAAAGGTACCAGCATCTGTACCCAAATGTCGCATTTAGAGAAGAAAGAAATTAAAATCCCTAAGCCACCCTTTGTCTTCAGTGGAAACTCATTGGACAACAGAAATGAAATATTTAACTTGTTTGACCATGCTGACAGACTTACCAGAGGTCATTCAAGTCAGGTATATTTTTACAACCCAGACAATGAAAATGCTGGTGAATTCTTCTTACTGAACTAAGAAATTATCAGACTTTTACAATGTTTTTAGCTAAAACAACAGTCTATACATTCCATCTTTAGAAGTTATTCTGAAAAGTTTACTGGAGCTTGAATGGTAATAACATCTTATCTTGGCACTCCTGAAGGTCTACAAGCATTCAGGATACCTTTAACATTGGACAAACTGACATGGGCTTGTGCAAATTTCTATCCCTGTGTTTCAGGCCATAGAAACTCAGCATTGGATATGGAAGCCGAGTGGCTCAATGACACCTTGAAAATTTTGTTTGAGATGTTTCAACTTGTTAGAAATAGCATCTGCCCAGAAAGGGGAAAGTTGGGGATTTGATCCCTGGCCGTGTCATACCATGAGATGTTTAAAGATTGAACTTGTTGTTACCCTGCCTGGCTTTCGGCATTAAGGGGCTGAAACAAGTACTGGTCGGCTCGGAGTCATCATGCTGTGTCTGAGTGGGGTATTCATGTAAAACTGCAGCATGGTATCTCAGTGGGCTAGCACTTTAAAATCGGCATAAGTCTGGACTAGTACAAGAAACTAGCCACACGCACCGCACCACACCACACTACACTGTGTGACACACGTCGCTATATAAGTGCAAAAACTTTAGACTTGATGTTAAACTCCATTTCAACTCAACTTTTAACATGATAGAAGTACTTGAAATGATTTTTTTTGATTGGCTTCTAGTGGGATTGTTGGAGAGGCCTGTAGTGATTGAATCTGGGAAGAGAGAGAAGAAGAAAGTGGAAAGGTTGGCGATGACCATGACCTTTGCCCCTCAGCACAGGAAGAAGGTTGATGTGCCTGAAGGAAGTGGTGCCAAGCTTGGAGAATGCCCTAGAAGTAAGTGCTGCAGACTCAATAACTTCAATATAGGATTACACTTTTACGTGTAGCCTACTTCAACATGATCAAGTAATAACATACTCATTCATTAATTTAAATCATTTTGATCTCTGATGTACTTATGCTTGCTTACTTCAAATGTGATGTAAAGATGTCATTTATACAAAGTCGGTTTGGACATTTTGGAATTTATACACGATAGTTTGATAATCATGTTTTAAATAAGACAAGGTTTCTGATCGGTTCATTTTCAAGGACATTGATGGTGTTGACTGATTGTCAACCAACTTGTTCTGTAGATGATTTTCAAATTTGATAGCGATACAGAAGGATGTCCAATGTTATTTGTCTCCACTGAAATTCCTGTAAGATTTACTGTATTCTTTTCAGTTGAATTCAAAATTGCACACTTGAAAGCAGATGACTTGAAGACGTTACATCGAATAGTTTTTGGAAAGAAAGGAACCGTGAGTATTTCTACAGCAACATTCTTGCTGCTCTGCGAATGTTAGCAAACAGGTCTCTCAGGTGTTGTATACAATAACAGTGAGGACGGACATTTCACCCCTCTTATTTGTCAGCTATATTCTAGCATGTGTTGTAACTATGATAATACAATCCTGTCAATAGGCCCCTTGGGGAATCTGGATTAGAATTGGTCCCCAGCAACCTATGTTTGTTATAAGACGTGACAAAGGATCAAGTGGTCATGATCAGGACATGGTTGATAGTGTGTCAACATGCCCCAGCAGCACGGATTCATGCTCATAGTGATATATATATATTAGTAATTGAATTGTCTGCTCCAGACTCCACTACTTACAGATTGCAATCATACAGCTGGAATATTGCATAGTTCAGCGTTAAACATCAAACAAGCCCTGTCAACAGGTTATCTTGACCTAAACAAGTGATTATGATACTATATTGAAAATATCTGTGGAGATTCAGAGTCAGAATAGAGCTTCATTCTTGTTGTCAAAGTTAAATAAAATGGGGATTCGATGTAGCATTGTAGCCTGATGGCATTGAATGTTGTCCAAGCTATCGAACACTGCTTTGTTCTGCCCAGATTAAATTTTTGTAGGCCTTTATTTTTATGATAGCTGAAATATTGCATTCTGTGGCATTAAATAAAATAAAATAAACTTAATTTTAAAAAGGTATCGAATAAAGTTTTGTTAAAGATGTACAGTTTTGTTTCAGTCACAAGAAGTCAAAAAGAATCTTCGACAGTTTTGTGGGTTTTCCTTTTCAAAAGAAGACAAGGAGTATGACAAGAGAGTTGCTATCATTGGCAAGTAAGAGATATTTTTACTGGTGCAGAGATTGGAATGTGTGTTGTTTTCAAGAGGGCCACAGGGCAGTGTTTAGGTGCCACTGTGACCTTTTTATCCCCTCGGAGGGTGGGGGTTAGTCATCATCTAGTCTGTCTTGTCTGTATTTCGTTTCCGAGCATATCATGAAAACGTGGAAGATTTTTCATCCAAACTTGGCAGATGTATTAACCAGAGACCGAAGTGGCGCCTTTTGCCATAGTGGGAGCCGAAGTGGGAGATTTGTCATCTTCTGATGACTCTTGTTATCCTCTTGTTAATAAAGTTGGCAGGGGATATTGAAATGGGTTCCGTGCATCCCAAAATCGTTTCCGGAGCATAATTCAGAAACTGTTAAATATTTCTCTACGAAACTTTGCATGCCTATCAGACTCAAGCTGAACTGGTGCCTTTTGCTATTTAGGAATTTAAGAAATTTTTAGTTTTTACGTTTCCATGGCAACAAGTTGGACTTAGGTTCTATAAGGGTAGTGTTCATTTCCGGAGCATTAACTCAATACCCATTCAATACTTTCTAACAAAACTTTGCATGTTTACCAGACACATACTGAATTGGTGCCTTTTTTACATTTCCATGGCAACAAGTTGGATTTAAGTTTTAATATAGGGTGGGTTCACTTATGGAGTATAACAAATAGACTATTAAATATTTCCTTGTCAAACATTGCATGTCTATATATAAAGCGTATACTAAACTTGTGCCATTTGATATTAAGGTGTTTTAGAAATGTTTATTTCATAATTTCCATTGCAGCTATTTTGACATGGGCTAAGAGAATTATTGGGTCAGTTACCTGGTTTGGGACCATAACATGTTAAAATGGGCGGGGGATATAGATGCATCATTGTCTATACGCTTGAGACTTTTTGATTTACAGATTTGATACAACTGCAATAATCATACAAATATAAAGTAGATCTAATTATACTACTCAAAAGAAGTTAAAGACCGCCTGATTTTGTCATATGACTAAAGTTAATCTGTCAATGCTGGTGGGTATTGCAACTTCCAATTATGGGTGTTCTTTAACATGTTTTTAAACCCCGTGAAGATCCGGGTTAGAATAGGTCTTCAGCAACCCATGCTTGCCGTAAAAAGCGACTCTGCTTGTCGTAAGAGGCTCGGGATCGGGTGGTCAGGCTCGCTGCCTTGATTGATGTCATGTTTTGATGTCATCATATCCCAATTGCGTGGATCGATGCTCATGATATCAATCACTGGATTGTCTGAACCAGACTCTATTATTTACAGACTGCCGTCATACAGTTGGAATATTGCTGAGTGCGGTGTTAAACAACAACAACTGTAACATGTTTTGAGTTGCATGTTAGCTGTTTACATAGTAATTGATCAAATACATCGTATGTTGTGTCTCATTCTCAATAAGATCAGATATGTTACGTCAATACCATACCTTTCTCTGTGTTATGATCTGAGGACATCTCATAAGAAGGTGAAATCAGGTAAACCCTGAACCAACATTGATTGCCCAGTCTAAGTAGGATACATGGATTCTTGAGCCAATCAGATGTCAGCTTTCTGAAACCATTTCGGTTTCTTTTCTTTACAAACCTTAATTTGGAAATTTTCATTTGTACACATGAAAACCCACACATTACACATATTTTCATAGTTACTGTTAGTGGCATGGTGCTCAGGACAATGACAGGACAAGGTGTATAAAGTATATTTCTACTTTCTGAATTTATCATTTTAGTTCGTGTTAGTGTTACTGAAATCAGATATGCTGGCTTGAATGCTTTGCTCGCTTGTACCAAGAATTTAGAAGCCTCGATGCTGATTAGCTGATCAGAAACTTTCAGCTGAAGCAGTCTCCACTGGAGGTATCATCAAATCGTTGCACAGAGGAATCATATCAGAGTAAAAGATCTGAGTATAATGAGATTGGTAGACTCCGGACACAGCTATCCTCTTTCACTTCTAACGTTATTAGTTCTTAATTTTTCCACCCAACTCCTACTGAATAAGAAGAGGTTTCCTGAATCCAGAGCTTCAAATAGCTGACTAAAATGAAGATCGAGAGATTACAATGTGTGAATACATGTCATGCTGTCAATCACTTTATTCAGCGAAATATAGCGAGACAAGCCCTGCTCATTCTATTATCAGACAGTCAGGAAACATTAGTCTGTATGTGGGCCAGACACATGACGCAAAATAATTGCTTGGTTAACCAATGAAATGCCACTGAATTACTTGCAATTTATTCCAAGTTAAACTCAAAATGACCACAGGGACTATATGGACCTACTCAGAGGTTGATTTTCGGTCCCAGGTCTTCAATAAATGACAGTAAAAGTTCCCAATTAAAATTTTTTAAATCCCAATACCTCAGAATTTATAAAAATTAGAACATTAAAAAATCAAATTTTGAACAATATCAATGTGCCTGCCAGTGCCAAAAGCACTTAAATTGAATCCTAGGTAAATCCCTGGACCACTCATGACTGATGTGCTTCTATGATGTTTGTTGAATCCAGTAAATGGCAGTGGTTTCATTGCTACTTTATATGACAACTGGACGTTACCTGGGTCTGTCTAGTTTCCAGTGCAGGGGAGTCTTAGTGATAGGTTTTGTTGGGCCAAGGCATGAGTAAGGGGGGTCCCTGGCTGATGACATGTGACGGGGAATTCAGTATTGGACTGAAGAGCATCATCCATTGAACTTTGAGTGTACTTCTGAAATGATGTTGCTTATAATATGAAATGAAACAAGTGAATTGACATTAGTTGTGTCTGAACAACACACTTAAGTGGCATTTGAGAAACTGTACTATCAATGAAGGCTTAGTAGACTTGTAGATTTCAACTTGTTCATTCTTTTCAAGCAAAAGTTACAGCATCTGTTTGTGATTGTCGCATTGAAAGAATAAATGTGACGTGCCATCTACAATTTTGATAACAGCCCCCAAACCTGTGAAGATCCGGCTTGACGTCTTCAGCAACCCATGCTTGCCGTAATAGTCGACTATGCTTGTCACTAGAGGCGAGTAAGGGGATTGGGTAGTCAGACACACTGACTTCGTTGATGCATGTCACTGTATCCCAATTGTGTGGATTGATGCTCATGATGTCAGTCACTAAATTGTCTGGTCCACAGTCAATTATTTACAGACCAACGTCATATTGCTGAGTGAGGTGTTAAATAACAAATGAAGAACAAAAGATATATAGAATACTTAACGAGCTCCCTTGTAATATCAATTTTATGAAACGAGTGAATAGTTATGGTATTTGACGAGCGAAAGCAGGTCTTTCTAACTGGAATACTGTTAAAAGCGGCGTTAAACCCAACTCACTCACTCACTCACTCACTCACTCACTCACTCACTCACTCACTCACTCACTCACTCACTCACTCACTCACTCACTCACTCACTCACTCACTCACTCACCTATATGATCCACAACGTAGTCCAATTGAGTTTAACAGAATAAGACTTCAAACACATAAAACGTTGACACTCATTAATTTAATACCATACAACGGTCCACCTTTAGAATTCCGGTGTCCGTTCCATAAAGTTATGGTAGCGCTAAGGTTATCCTAACTCACATACACATAATTAATAAAATAATGGAATATATTATTCCTGATAAAAAAAATAGTTTCAGATACAATTGTTGCCGATCCTTGCATTAAAAATCCTATAAAGTTATATCATTGGGTGTGTCTTGACCGAATCACCGGTCGATTCCAAGAAAACGTGTGTACAGCTGACTGCTGTTTCCGGCTTAGTTTACGAGAAAATACACAAGGTAATATTAATCCCTAGATATAAAACAATGCCTAGCAGAACAATAAATACTATTTAAACGGTAAATAAACATGTCTGGTGATTTTTTAGCTCAAATTTCGAATTTGTACTGACAAAGTTTCTCATCACCCGTTCGTTTGGCGGTCTTCGCTGAAAGGGTACGGTGTAAACTTTTTCTGCGCATAATATTCAAATTTCTTTTTTTTCCAAAATTTTGGACCCGCTAGAGGGGGGTGCGCATTATACATGGGTGCGCACTATACTCAAGAAAATACGACTTACAACTGTCGTTGCGCTACACTACGATCGCCTTGTGGAACTGGGCCCTGCACCACAAAGTTTACAATCACCTCAAAATACTCTATAACGTAATTTGTGGAATTTTGTTGCAAGATCCACAATACCATGTGACGTCAGCCTCGCAATGGGGTTGCTCGGGTTATTGAGTGTGCATAAACTCCTCTCAGTGATCTATCATCCCCTCATGCAATGCCGTTGAATAAGCCAAGAGATGATGAGAGCTTTCAATGTTTGTTAGTGGAACTTGTTCCTGCAGTAAATAAGCACACGCTTTGCTATTACACAATGTGTAATACAGCAGTGTGTCTATTAAACAGGTGATCTTTTCACGGGCAAGTAATAACAGCCCAAGGACTCACAATGTAAATTATATGCACTCATTCTCAAATTAAGGAAATGGTAAACCCTGATCTTGTTTCCTGTACAGTATCGATGTTTAAGTGATTTGAGGATCTTGTAGAGATTGGTTTGACTGAAGATGTAAGAATATTATTTGAAGAATCGAATTAACAATCGTCTCTGGCTTATCCTCCATGGGTAAGATGTCCTTGATTATTTTCCAAGTGTGATGGTTTGGTTTCAGGTTAACGCTCCCAGTGTTGAAGACAATCTGTGAGGTGCTTGACCTGGAGAGGTCAGGAGTCAAGGATGACGTGGTCCAGAGGGTTATGGACTTCCTCATGCACCCATCGGACTCTGGCAGGAAAGTACCGGAGCCCAAAAAACGTACAGTGCTTAATTTTTGTATTGCACACCCCTATAGAGATGTCAGACAGAATACATATCTCCAGTATCACATGCTTGTTGGAGAGCTGTCTATCATTATGTGTAATTGTATGTCATGGATTGTTGCTGATACCTGATGCATATACTAGGGTTGAGTATTGGCAAAGAATATTGTATTGCAATCGAGACGAATGTATTGTGAAATATTTGGAGCCAAAGTGTTTGACAGTGATTGACGCTGCTTGTATGTGGGGATCCTTTTTTCTACATACTATAACTAAAGTAAATACTACTTAGCACGGTCAGTAGCTGTCATTACGGATACAGGGGATACAACATGAGAGAAATATCACTTCTATGTTTCCACTGTTTTGTCAATTAATTTTGAAGTGAAACATAATTTGAACATATCGTTTGAAAAACATATTGCAGTATTCTGGTATTCAGGTAATACCATACTGTCTACCCAGTAAGATCCGTGTTAGAATAGGTCTTCAGCAACCCATGCTTGTCATAAGAGGTGACCAACAGGATTGGGTGGTCAGGCTCGCTCACTTGGTTTGATGCATGTCATCGTATCCCAATAGACCGCCGTGGGCTAGTGATAGTGTTTGCCCAGAGGGCAGAAGATCTGGGAGTTCGATCCCCGCCCGCATCATACCAAAAGACGTTAAAAGATGGTACTTGTAGTTACCTTGCATGGCACTCTGCATTAAGGGGCTAAGTATACTAACTGTGTCCCATTGTGTGAAACCCCAGTTTCCACCCTTGCCGAACTAGGCTTGAATTTCTTGGCTCAATCGTAGCACCACCAGTGACTATTACAAGTTATGTCCTGTCTATGTCCCTCCTGCTGACTCCTCAGATTCCACATTTGATATCACTTGCATTTACTTCAAACACCCAGTCAAGACAATATAATCAAGATCTATATTGTTGTAAAACAGTTCTTACTTCTCAAGGTCCATCAAATCATGTGAACATCTTGATTAAAAACATGAAAAGATTTGAAAAAATTGACGCTAAGTTGATGTAACTCCATAGTTCTGTGGATGTAACTTTCATCCTAGTTCGGCAAGTTCGGCAAGGGTAGAAACTGGACTTTCATAGTTAGTTAACTCGCTTGCCTTGGAAAGATGACTGTCTGGGTGTAGTAATCATGTTAAACTTAGCATGGTATCTCAGTGGGCTCCCATTTAGTGTTTGCACACAACGGTTTAAGCAGATGTTATATGCTTTGTTTTCTAAATGTTGATTGGTGTTTTAGGGGGTCGGGCATCGAAGGAGAGGCGAGACAAGGGAGTGAAACGGAAGCGAGCAGAAAAGAAAGAGGGCAAGAAGAAAAAGAAGAAAACATCAAAAGAAGACGTGGAGTCTGAGAATGAGGAGGATGAGGATGAAGATGACGAGGAGCCTGAGGAAAATGATAAGGATGATGACGATGATGCAGATGAAGATGGGGATGTAGAAGAGGAGGAAGAGAGCGAGGAAGAGGTACTTAGGGTTGAAATGTGGAATTTATTTGTTTGTCAGAATTTGTAATTTCTTGAACCTTTTGACTGCTTTACCTGTAAATGGTTTTGAAAATGTTAGGGGTTTAAATAAAGTCCCTGCTATTCAAAAGAAAAGACATGATGTCTTAATTAGATCAATGCAAAAAAAATTCATTTTGTATGAAATCCTGTATTTGGGCTGCATTTGAACAAAACTAATCTTCAGAATTTTCAACGGAGGTCCTATTCACTGTCAACCACACATTACTAGTTGTCAAGACAATAGGACCGCCGATCAACATGTCACTCTTTCCTGTGTGCTAGATTCAGCTTTTCAACTGAGTTTTATTTCGAGAACATAGGGTTATGTAGTCACACTAGATAATTAAAATTAAGATAATTAGTTGTTTATCTATTGTTTACTGATTCAACACTTTAGAAAAGATAATTATTAACTGATACTCAAGAAAATATTAGTGGTTGCTGGTGTGTGTGTGAGTCCAAGATGGTGTCCTCGGTCTCTCCTCCAGCCTGTAAATCATGGGAAGTTCATCATTACGGGGGATTCCCATCCGACTTGCTGGGAATTCTGAGACACCTACACAGTAGAGACTCACTGTGAGTCATGCACATCCCTACCTTCAACAAGCTTTATGACTCCATCAAGAAGGGTAGGAGGAAGACAGCAGACGTCATTTTTCACCCTCTATTGCTACTCCAGCTGAAACACTATCTGGATAGGGAACGCCTAAGACTCCTACTGCATCCGTGACAATTCAGGCCAAACCTATGGATCTTCAAGAACAGATGTTTTTACACACAGAAGACAACGATGGAATCAATGTTGATTCTCATCTGATGACCTTATCCACTGAGGTGGAATGGTTGAAACAACACCAATGGGAACAAGCCAAGAGAAGTTCACACGATAACCAGGTAATGATCGCAGCTGCTATGGACCCAGAGACAACAGGTCATTTTTCCAGGTCCGCTCAGGAGCAGTCCCTGGTCAGTCGAGGTGATGTTTATGTCTCAACTCAAGCTCATCATTGAACACATGTAACACATATTTCGTAATATGCCTCTGACCACCAGCAGGAATGGGTACCTGGTTCAAAGTCTTTGGAACACTTTTGAAAAGAACCTTCACATATGCTGCCTAGAATTAGGGCAATATTCTATGCTCCCAGGAATTGGAAAACCCAACTATCTCCTCTTAGCAACGGACAACACCACAGTAGTAGCTTACATTCAGAAGCAATGAGGAAGCAAGTCGAGCTCACTCATGATGGAGACTGCATGATTGTTTGCCGTGGCAGACTCCATCAGTTGCTGGATTGAAGTGAGACATATTCCATCTGTCAGCCTTGCTCACCATGTGGATAGTGACAACAGAATGGTCATTACATCCAGAAGCCTTCAACTTTATAACGTCACTGTAGGATACCTCACATCTGCATCTCTTTGCAACTTGTCTAAACAACCATCTTCCAGTCTACGTAAGCCCAGTACCAAGTAGAAGCCCTATTGATGGCTTGGAATGGCCGGTTTGCCTAAGCGTTCTCTCCATGGACTCTACTAGACAAAGTGATCTGGGTAATAGCTCCTTTGTGGCAAAGCAGAGCATGGTTTCCCAGACTGTAGCCACTACTCATGAGAAAACACAATCCTTCTTCCTATAAGATGAGATCGCCTACGTCAATACAAGTCAGACATGTTTCACAGCAATCTACCTGTGCCTCATCTGACCGCTTGGAAACTATCTTGGAGAAATGCAAGCTGCAGCCGAGGCAAGGAGATTGTCTTCATCCCTCTCCTCATACTGCCTGTTTTGCATGTTGGTAAAAATGACTACTGACAGATTCTTACAGTACTAACAGGTCTGATGGCATCTCAGTTTGGCTAGCACTATGAAACCGGACTAGTTCATGCAGACACATACATACAGATATGCATGTCGCAATATAAGTGCAATAATCTTGGCAGCACCGTTAAAGCCTATTGCAACTCAGCTCTAAAAACTCTGGTCTAAGGGAGACAACTCATATCAAATTCACACATTGTTGAGATGCTGGTGTTTGACCAAGTATGTGTAATGGCATTGTAATTTCTCATGTCACTTAATATTTTCAGTGATCAAAATTGAGCTTGATATCAAGCGGTCCATGTGATATATGTTAAGAGGATTTTATTAGATCAATTCTGGTCCTTTATTGCCCCAATATGACTGCCAAGAAGTGCATACAAGTGAATCTTAAGCCATGATAATTTAATTCTTAGGTTTCCAACCCTGCTTACAGCCCACTCACTCATCATACATGTCTGCTAATTCAGTCTACTTGTGATTGTTTTCAGGTTCCTAAAAAGAAAAAGGCAAAGTTGGAAACACCCAAAAAGCCTAAAGAAGAGAAAAGAGAGAAGAAGGAAAATGACAAGAAGGAGAAGAAAGAGAAGGCAGCCAAGAAAGCAGAGAAGAAAGAATCAAAGAAGAAGAAAGGTGAGAATGTGTACACTGAAAACCATAACCGTGATCAGTGTGCTTCCCAAGGCAAAAAGCATCTTGATTTTGGCCAATGAAAGTAGAAACATGGATCTGTGGGCTTATGTTATAGGCCTTTGTCCATCCAACCAATTAGCATTGCACTAAAAGTATCTTTTTTTCTCTAATCTATTGAACATATCAATGTCATTTTAACACAAATTCCCCTTGCTTCAGTTGACAGCCTACTTGCTATTCCCTTATCGTTCATCAGTTATCGCCGCCTCCGTGGTCTAGTGGTAGAGCATCCGCCCGGAGAGCAGAAGGTCCGGGGTTCGATCCCCGGCCGTGTCATACCAAAAGACATTAAAAGATGGTACTTGTTGTTACCCTGTCTGGCATTCGACATTAAGGGGCTAAAACAAGGACAGGTCGGCTCGGAGTCAGTATACTGTGTCTGAGTGGGGTATTCATGTTAAACTGCGGCATGGTATCTCAGTGAGCTAGCACTATAAATCGGCATCAATCCGGACTAGTACAAGCAGCCACACACACACACACACACGTGCATGCACATCGCTATATAAGTGCAATAATCTTGGACGCGACGTTAAACCCACCTCCATCAGTTATCATTTCGTTTCCAGAGCACAACTTGAAAACTGTTCCATATTTTTCAAAAATAAATTGTCAGATATATCAAACACATCCTGAAGTGGTGCCTTTTGCCATTTACAGATTTGGGGCATTTTTCCTTTTTCTTGATTTCCATGGAAACAGTTTGGACTTAGTCTCAAAATGGGGGGATGGATTTTGTTTCCAGAGCACAACTTGAAAACCGTGAAAGACTTTTCTTCCAAACCTGGTACATGTATGAACCAAGGGCTGAAGTGGTGCCTTTTTTCTATTTGAAGACTTTTCAAAATTTTCCATGGCAACAAGTTTGACTTTGACTCTATGGTGACTCTCTTAGTGGTATTGGGGACTCAGGGGGCCCAGTCGTCTAAGGCGCCAGGAATCGCTGTGCAGAGTTGCGTACCTTGGGCACGCCAGAAACCTGTGATTGTGGGTTTGAATCCCGGTTCGCCACAATTATGTTTCTAGGTTTGTCAGCACTGTATCTGTGCAAGTGGGTTTCACCGAAGTGGTAAATGTCCGAGACCTGCATCACTTCGGGCTTTCCTCCCACATTTAGCTGACACGTCGCAATATAACAAATAGTGTTAAAAGCGGTGTTAAACCCAACTCACTCACTCACTCACTCATAGTGGTGTGTTTGTCCAGACGTATCTCTGAAACTACTGTGTACTCTTTCTTGAAACTATGCACACACAAAGACCAGATTGTCAACTGGTGCCTTTTGTTATTAAGGGATTTTTAGAATTTATTTTTTCTCGGTTTGTTGTTTTGGTTTTACTTTGACTGTCCATATGGGTTTGAACCTGCATAAACTGAGATTTTCTGAAAGGATATTCAACTCACCAGACAAAGCAAACAGTTGAATAAGCTTTGGGCGACTTTTGGGAACGTTTATGGTCAACATAATTAAAAAGGTCAATCATCATACAAAATAAATCTATGATTGACTGTGTGTATTACTTAATTTTATGAGCTCTTGAACCCATGGCTGCCATCATTTCAAGTACACAGAAGTAGTAGCTATTTATTGCATCTTCTCCATCACTATCTAGTTTTGTGTATTGTAGGTTTCACCTCCTCATTGAATCTCTACCCCTCAACTTCCTGGGGAAATGGCAGTGTATTCCAGCAATAGAAATTGGCACTAGTCCTACAGTCATTGCCAAGCTACCCAATAGTTAAGGTACCATAAGGACTAGTAGAAATTTGCAAATTATATTTGCAAAGTGTTTTGCTATATGTTAGTTTCTATCGTTGTATTCCCTCTAACAACATTTCACTGTGGCCTTGTATATTGTCCTATTCTTAGCTCTCCCTCTGTATTGGCCCTATCAGTTGACACAGCTGGTAATAGGTAAACATGTGAGACACTGTTTCAATTAGATCAGTTCTGTTGTTGTGTATATCTGCAGTGTCATTATAGTATGGTTTCTTTACAGTTGAATCAGAATCGGACGAGGAGGATTCAGAAGACGAAACATTAGCATCAAAGAAAACAGGACCACCAAATGTAAGTTTTCCTCTATAGTAAACATTTAGTGCACAGAATTATTTAGGATTCTGAAATTATTGTCCTTGGCTAGCAAATTCGTAAATATTGCTATCTTGTTCAACAGAATTCTAATGTTCTCATTTCAAGGGCATTTTAACATTGTATTGTAACATTGCAATCAATGTAAAATTTTATCATTAAATCCCATTTCACCTCACCATGGTAGAATGGAGGTAAACATACTGTATTCAATACACTGCTGGTTTACCTGTAGATTTAACGACACCAAGTTTAGAATTTGAAACTCCACACTTCTCTACTATATGAAAACACAGTATGTTATCTCCTAATTTATCCCATTTTGATTCCAATACTTTTCTTTCTTTTCGCAGAATGATGAATTGCGTGATGTTGTTAAGAAAATTTTAGATGGTGCCAATTTGGAGGAGGTGACGATGAAAACAGTTGTAAAACAGGTGAGCGAAATAGTTTAGGATACCAGATGGAAGTGTCCTATCTTTATGTGAAAATGAATGAAAATATTCTGTCATGTTGTGCAGTTAAAGAGACTTGATTCTAGACTGGTTTACTGGGTTTTTTAAACTCAAAATTGACCGCCTCCGTGGTCTAGTGGTAGAGCGTCCCCAGCCGCGTCATACCAAAAGACGTTAAAAGATGGTACTTGTTGTTACCCTGTCTGGCGCTGGGCATTAAGGGGCTAAAACAAGGACTGGTCGGCTTGAAGTCAGTATACTGTGTCTGAGTGGAGTATTCATGTTAAACTGCGGCATGGTATCTCAGTGAGCTAGCACTATAAATCGACATCAGTCCGGACTAGTACAAGCAGTCACACACACACATATGTGCATGCACATCACTATATAAGTGCAATAATCTTGGACGCGACGTTAAACCCCATTTCACCTCACCTTAACTCAAAATAATCGCCATCTTGTTTCAATCTGGGGGAAAGTAAATGTTCACTGAGCTTCATATTGTAATATCAGACTTGACAACGCATGGGTGTTAGGCCGGCTGCAATCCACTGTGCTGAGGTATACGACCCTTAGTCATCGGATTTCCTGACTTGGACTCTGTTCATAGTGGTGTTTGTTCGGATCACATCTCTTAAACTAATAGGTGTTCTTTCATGAAACTTTACACACACAAAGACCAGGGGGAAGAGAATTTATGGATGTTTACTTCTTTGTTATGAGGGACACAGCGTTTCGGAGTACATGCTTACTCCTTCATCGTGGCCTGAGATGTCAGCTGCCTTTTGCTATTTATGAATTCTTTTAATGTATATTTTTTCTGTTGATTTTTTACTCTAATTCATAGTGGTGTGTACCTGACATAGGATACCAAGTTCTGAATCCCAATTCCGTGGTCTTGTTTTGAGCTCAATAACTGCTCTTGTATACGGAGAGACAGATTAGATAGAAATTCTCTCATCAAGTTGGACTTAAAGTAACAGTCAGATGATTTGTTCTTTCGAATTTGTGGGAGCTGTGTGGATTTGTCATCTTCTGATGACTCATGTTTACAGACCGTTGCCATATTGCTGGAATATTGCGGAGTGCGGCATTAAACAACACACAAACAAAATATGGCAGGGATGGAAATTAGCACTAACTGGGCAAGTCCTGACCAGTTTTGTTAAAAGTATTTTAGGGTCCAGTAGAATTTTGGAAGGATATTGCTATATGTTGTCACTATTCAAGCTAGTAGGTGTTTTTGGTTAATTTCCATCCCTGAATGAATAAAGCCTTGCTCCTGTGGAGCTTTGTTGCAAGATTTCATCAAGACCTTAACTCCTTGGTGTTTTTCAGGTTTATGCAAAGTATCCAGAATTTGATTTGTCAGACAAAAAAGAATTCATCAAAAACACAGTCAAACAGGTATTCCATTACTTCAGTTTGTGACTTGCTCTGATACTTCATGTCGACATGACCTGTGTTATACGCCAATAAGAAAAAGTGAAATAATTTATTTTTACCAAATTCATAATTTATCGTCAGTAATTTTGACTATTGATTGACCTTTCGAACTCAGTGACAGTGCAGTGATAGAAATTTAAGGGGGGACCTGGGGTCCTTCAAGTTTGCTGCAAAAGTATTTGTATCTATGGACCCCTGAATCTTAAATTGTTAACATTATGGCAATCACAAGGACCCCTTAATTTTCATTTTTAATTTAGATCACAGCATTGTCACATGTACAACCAGTTAATTGTCAATTTACGATCACTTACTTTAGCTAGTGATAGGAGGAAGTTTTACAGATTTTGAGGAGTTCGGGTAATAAAATGCAAGGGAAAGATGATTAATTTTCATTGTAACCATAAAGTCATGTTGGAAGTTACTTAATTAATACATTTTAAACCAAAATTATCCTAGATGTTCCTAATTGCCTCAATTTGTGATTGAAATCTCTGTTTAAAATAATTTAAAAGAAAATTAATAACTGTAATAGTACTGAGGATATGAATAAAGCTAGTTGTTTATTTTCTTTAAAGAAATATAGTAAATTAAAAATAAATAACATTTTCTTATACCTTTTGTTGATTCTTGCAACTCTGGACAATTTTTATAACTATTTTCAACCACAAATGAACTGATTTTGTTTTCAGCTTATATCATGAGAGCAGTGAGGAAGGACGTTGGTGAAATGGCAGCCAATCATAATGAAACGTACACACGCAGGAGGGCCGGACAATTCTGTGAAGACAGCAGCTCCATGAGTGTGTTGGAAATCATTGCATAACTGAGTAGGGCCGAACCACACTGACTCACCACTAGTGAATGTTGGAGCCTTCGGTAGATCCTTGTATAGACATTTATCATGGAACATGTCACCTAGATTTTATTTTTCATCATCACAATCTTAGCTTCATTTTGAATTTCCAGCTTTTACTCTCATCGATGCCACTATTATCACCCATTGTCGATTTTAATGTGTTTTATTGGAATTGTAATATATGTGATGATGATGATCATGTGCTTCAGCCACACCCATGGTTTTAATACGTTTCCAGGCAATGGGAGAGACTAGGTGTCTGTCTTGTTAATGTCGTCTGTTCCGATCTCATGGAGAACAAACAGTGCTTGCAATTGACACACTCCACCTTCAATTGACACTCATTGTGTGAAATTGACTCTCGTGAAGCTATTTTTTATGAATCTCATGTATCTTTTTAGTGTGATTCTTTACATGAAACAAATGATCTAAAAGCCAAAGGGTTTATTCCTAATCGTTAAGATTTGATTGATGAACAAAATCACATCTTTCATATACATTGTTAATTTGTATTTCCCATTTACCTTGTTACAGTTGTTGATTTCAAGCACTGTGAGAAATATACCAATACAAGTTGTAAAATTTACAAATAAGAAATGTGCCTCAGTGTGTTCCAAGCCTAAACCTGCTTACGGTGGTTAACTTGGTTAACCTCAAACCTCGGTGTAATCATTCATAAGGTCCTTTATAGCATGTATTTCCATGAATTAAGAATTAGACTGCACAAGTTCTGCTCAATTCCTTTTCTTTAGATTTGTTATGCTTGGTTTAGCAGTGAACCATGTTCAACGCAGGGCACTTAAAGGTAGCCATCAAGTGCTGCTTAATCGCAAACGAGGCTTATAAATATGTGCTGTTTAAGAACACAAGGTGTTCATGTATACAACTCAAAAGAAGATTCTTTCTTATTATTATAGTTATCTGTCATGCCGTGACAGATTAACAAGAGTAGTGTAAAAGAATCAGGTGGTTTTTTTTAACTTCTTTTGAGTAGTATTCAATGTGAAACAGTTTCCTGTGCGAAAAGGGCATTCCATTGTGGCATATTTAGGTCACATGTTATTTTAAGTCTTCTAGCCTTTTGGCATCACTTGATGATTACCTTTAACATATGTATACCTTAGTGGCAAGTGCAACAGGAATTTATACTCACAACATCAGAGTTATATCATCATCTTCTTGTTGAGTAGGGGTTGAATTATTGTGAATGATGGCACAGTACGGTTTGACTAGGATCATCTGAGGCTGAAGTTGGGCCACAATATGGGATTGATTGTATAGTTTTCTGGTATGTAGTGTTTAGTGTCTGTATGGTTTACTGCTGTCTTTGAAGCCAAGCTTTAATTACAGTATACCCGGTTTGTTAAACAGGTTCTGTCTCTTGGTCATTATCAAGAGTTTTGCTGAATATTCTCTTCATTGTGTAAGAGCTTCCCCTGTAGTCTAGTTCTTGTATCTGTCTAATATTTATTTTATTTTCTGTTAAATGAAATATAAGTAGCTAGGAATTTTCTACAAAATGAAGTCAATGCTTTAAAAGTTAACGACCAAACATGATCACGAAATAGAAACAAAATGTTGAAAACTCTGATGTTATGAAATAAAATGGTTTAAATTTTGAGAAATGTTTGTGTTAGTTTGTTGTTAAATGCCATATTCCCGTGTATGACAGATAAGGCTGTTTCAGATAATCCAGTGATATATTATGAGAAATGTCCTCGGGGTAAGATGACCTCTATCAACAAAGTCGTAGAGGCTGATGTGGAATTCCCTTGGTACAACCAGCAGCATCTGAACCAGATGACTCTATTGATATTGTGAGCACCGATACACGCTGTCGGGGTATGATGACACACAATCAACCATGTCACTGATGCCCAAAGTCCCGTGAACATTCTGGGTTAGAATTGGTCTTCAGAAAGCCATGCTTGTCGTAAAAGGCGACTAACGGGATTGGGTGGTCAGGTTCACCAACTTGGTTGATCTTGGTATCCCATTTGAGTAGATCAATGCTCATGTCAATCACTGGACTGTCTGGTCGAGGTTTGATTATTTACAGAGTGCTGTCATATAGCTGGAATATTGCTGAGTGCAACATTAAACAACAAACAAACAAAACTGATGCCCCCTGACCACCCAGTTCATTATCGAACCCAGGATCCCTGAAGACTGAACGATGTCTTGAAATGTTTTTGGGTTTCATTCACATTCACAACAGAATCTTTTGATATACATGTATGACCAATGTGAATGGAACACTGTCAAAAGCCATTGATCCACTCACTCCCTGCCCATTCATAAGTTATGAATGTATTGATACACAACATGTATGGATTTCAAAATTTCTAGTTGAATGTATAATGTTTCTTGGCTTCATTTCCCACATCTCTGCTTGGTATGCATCATTCACCTGATGAAGGGGCAAAAAGTATCCCCAAGAGTATAAAGAATCATCTTCCCGAGGCAAAAGCATCCACTAGCCTTATTATCAAAGTCTTGTTTCCACCCTTGCCACATCAAGCCCACTTTCCTTTGCTCAATATGATTGGACAATCACACATATCGATAGTCCAATCAGAGAATGTCTCACAACATCCAAGACTGGTACGTCTATGAAAGTGATCTACTGCTGCCTGTCTTTGTTGACAGGAATGTCTTTTTCATCTTTTAAACCCCCAACGATTGCCAATGTTTTTGTGTCAGGAATGAAATCATCAATGTTTTCGTTATCTGATTGACTAGTTCGTCACCATCTTTGTGAAGCTATACGAGATAAGAACAGCGATCTGACTGGAAATCTTTCATTAAAAGGGGCACAACTCATGATCTAAGAGAGGTGGCGCCAGGGTCGACCCAAGAAATGTGGCCTTGATGTGGGTAGAAACTAGGCTTTCATATGAGCTAGTGGACACGCTTGCCTTGGGAAGATGATAAAGAATATGTCAAGTCTTTGATAAGCATTTAGAAGTTGGAAGAACATGAATACATGACACTATTTAATGGATGACTTCTTTTATCACCTACCCATTATGTACTCCACTGTGCAGTACCTTGTGCAAACATATCTTATATTTACTGATATATTTTAACCCTATATAACCCAGTATTCTCCTGATGAAGGGACAAGAAGTAGCTCTGATATGTTTTTGCAATAAAAGTTTCCATATTGAAAGTGTCATGTATTCAAAAATACATAAGTTGAAATCCATACATCTACCAACTTCTAAATGTCAACCATGATGAATTATTGAAACACTCTTCCTTTTGGCTTATACAAGAAGATGCCAGACATAATTAAATATGTATATTGAGACAATGACACAGTATCTATAGACATACACACATACACCACATCTGTACATGTTAACACTTGAGCACTGTAGTTTCATTTTAACATGAAAACTGCACACAAAAACATTCTGGATACAAACGGTTTCCAAAAGAGTTAAAAAGTTCAGATGAAACATCCCTAAGGCCTAAGTAAACTAATTACCATATTTGACATAATAAGCGTCCAGGGCGCTCTCAAAATTAGAAGTAGTGGGCTCTTATTAGAATATTATTTAGGTGAAAAAATAACAGTTGAAAGATCGTAAATTTCGTGGTTTATGCTGACAGCCTGAAATGTTTATATACGACATATATTTTTCCAGAATTTAATTGCTAGTAGTATTTTAATGTAAGATGAGATAAAGTTCCTTGTGAATTTGAGGAAATTATAGTAATGAAGGAACTACCATGGAACCATTTCATTTTACCAACATTCTGCTGATACAAAACATAATTATACAAAACATGTATTATTATTATTATTATTAAATGCTTAAACTGGGGTTTCACGTCTGTTGAGAAGTCTCTCTGCTTCTGGATGCTCCAATCCTTCCAAGTCGGTCCCTTTTGGCCTCTTAGGACTCAAATTCAAGGACAGATTGTTATTCCTGAGCATTTCATTCATCTTCAGCCTGTTCTGAAACCTGGGTGAGTGAAACTTGTCCCGAGAAACATACTCATGGTAATATTCTCGTAAATTGGCTTCCTCTTTTTCACGCCGAATATACTTGATCATTAGCACCACAATGCTGAAAGCATAAAAACTCAGCACAATTATGATGTAGAGGAGTGCATCTATGGATCCCTTGCCCTTGAGTACCGGATCTGATTGGTTCAAAGGAACAGACGTCAGCCCCTGTTCTACTAATTCCATTGTTGATTGGTTTAGAAACACAGGTCTGAGGGTATGGTTTAGTAAGCTTGATTTTGATAGGTCAGTTAGTGTCAGATCTGGACTTGGTAGTTTCATGATGAATTTATTCCCACACACAATCTGGTGAAAGTTTGCAAGCCACAGATTCCATGAGAAACTACAATGTAGAGAGTTAGGTGCTTCTGAAACTGGTCCATGTTTGAATAACAATTTTCTGGATCCAGATAATATCAGTTCAATTGCTCCATTCCTGTTCACAACACTACTGTGAAACTACAGATGACGTCTTGCATGTAATCAATCTCTTTCATCTTTTGACTGAAGCCATGTTCCTGTACAGTAGCTGGACAGTGTAGAGCTGATCTTGGCTGTTTGACTCCATGAAACTCAAGGGACATTATTAACTTTCCTCCTGATGCACGACAGCCATCACTCAAGGAATGTCAGCATTGTCATGTCATGCCTGAAACACAAAATATAACATAAGTATTGTAAATGATTAAAAAAACATGGAAACCTTAATGATTCAAAAGTGTATCATATCCATAGACAATTAATGTAAACAGATGCCTTGACAACTTTGTTTCAATAAAATGACTCCCACTTCACATATCGTATCACATGATGGGGATGAAAATCTAATAATAATTTATTGTGGCCTTAATAATTTATTTTACTTTCTGAAAAATAAGCTAGACATGTAGAAAAAAAGAAATACAGTCTGACACTACATACCATATGTACAAAACTATCAGACAAATAAGTCAATATTTGGATGATATCTTCAGTAATATAACCCACCAAGAACATTCCCACCAGCTGCTAATTGTGTAATCAATAAAGTTTAAATCTGATATGATCCGCGTGGGCAGGAGTGTCTGTATGTGGAGATATAATGGGCAGCATGACGGGCAGCATGACAATCTTCATTACCTAAGTGGATGGGAGCAGACTAGACTTCTGACAAACCTGTCTGACTTGGGCTGTTCATTTGGTGCAAGTCAAGCACACTTGTTTTCAACCTGAGCTGACACCAGAATCTTGGCAACATTACAATTTTTTTCAATACAGTATTTTTTACCATGATCATGTCCTATGGGTTAAAATCTAAAAAAGATACACAGTAAACCACTTTGGGACCATTTAGATATATTCTTGGTTGGGGAGAGGGTGGGACGTTTTTGATTTAAATTTTAAGCTAATCAATGAAATACTCAAATCATTTGTTTGGCACTTCCTTACACGGAACAAAATTTATCTTGTGAAGCAGTGACTGAAAAATCCTCCTGACTCTACCCGGTATATAACATCTTGTGGTAAATAATGGGGTCTGGACCAGGCAAGCCAGTGACGAACCAGGAGCAATAGTCCAGTCTAGCACTGTGACCTTCTTGTTCATGAAAAATGTTACTTCAGCAAGTTCAACTAATGCTATTTGTAATCCTCTAGACAGAATCAGTCAAAGTTTACTCATTCCTTAGCCTCTGACAATTAAATAAAAACAATATATGAAGTGTCATCTTTCAGACTACTGTTCAACCATATCGTCATGGATGTGCAGCTTCTAAATGGTCTGTAAGAAGAAATGCAGGTTAATACCAAAGGGGTTCCGGGGTAGAATTGGTACCCAGAAACCTATGCTCGTTGCTAATAATAGCAATCACTGAAAAGCCTGGTCCAGGCCACCATCATATTGCTGAGTGTGTTGATAAATAACAAACTTGCTGTGTGTGTGATGTAGATCTTGTATGGTCTTACTGTAAGTGGCCAGTAGTTACAATTTAGACTAGGATACCCATCCTGTTTATTGATGCACTCCTGGGAAGCATATGCATTCAAATTATTAAGAGATTGGAATTTCTGGAGGAACTTGAAGGGAGTTTCACAAAAGTAGGGAATTTTCAGAAATTACATCCAGTGAATGTTTGTTTGTTGTTTTACGCCACACTCGGCAATATTCCCGCTGTATGACATCTGTCAGTAAATAATAGAGTCTGGACCAGACAATCCAGTGATTGATATCATGAGCTTCAATCTACGCAATTGGGATACGATGATATGCATCAACCAAGTCAACGAGCCGGACTAAACGATCCCGTTAGTCGCCTTTTACGACAAGCATAGTCACCTTTAACGGCAAGCATGGGTTGCTGAAGACCTATTCTACCCCAGATCTTCACGGGTCACATCCAGTGAATGAGTTTGTCTGAATATTACAGTTACATCACTGATCGAGCTTATCATGGCTGGAGTGAATGAGTGAGGGTATTGAATGCTGTCATTAAACAGTATTTCAGTTATACCACAGCATGTCAGCATATCATGTACCTCCTTTCCTTTTAACACCATCCCACCTTTTACACATGAAAACAGTGGCCTTGTGATTAATTTGTTACATATTCAGGCCTATTCAACACTTAACAAAAGCAGACAATCAATGGAAGGGAAATAAATCTATTGTCACTGACAATAACTCTCATCTTTTTTGTTTTCTTCAAAGTTCTTAATAGATTTCAACCAGATGTTTTTCAAACTGTGAAACGATGTGACTAATAAGAAAAGTACAAGGCATCCACTTTCAAGGCAGAATCTATATTCAAGGCCTCTCAAGCCTATGATCCATATAAAAAATCCCTCTAATGTAGCTATAAAGTGTGGTCTCCCTCCATGCAGTATATATCTCATTATCAGAGGTAACGTGAAACGTTTCACTGTCAGATTGGGTTTGAACACATGATTCATTCTACCAGCTCCACAGCCATACTTGTGGCTTTACCAAAGTGAAAAGTGGATACTATATATATTTAGAAAGCATTATTTATTTTCTCTTCAAAATTTGTGTATACAATAGTTTAAGCTACACAATGATAAATGTAAAGACAAGCCTAGCTTCCATGCCAACATATTAAGATTGGTGCTTATTAAAACTATCCACAAGATATATTTGTTGTCAGAGATCAAGCAGTAGAGAAATTTGTTCAAACGTCGATGAAAGTTTATATCTTTGTTTGTTGTTAAACCCTAAGACTTTAACGACTCACTCAGCAACATTCCATCCATATGACGGCAGTCTGTAAATAATTAAGTCTGGACCAGACAATCCAGTGACTGACATCATGAGCATCTATGTACTAGCTTGGATCAGTCACAATATAAATAGAAATAAATTCATACAGCTCTATATTTTCCTTTATATTTGTCTATGTCTGTCAGTTTATTATTATTATTATTATCCCCCGCCCAACTTTGTTGGATATAGAAACGGGCTCCGTCCGTATGTCCGTCACGTTTCGTTTCCGGAGCATAACTCAGAAACCGTTCAATATTTTTTCATCAAACTTTGCAGGTCTGTCAAGTACATGCTGAACTGGTGCCTTTTGCTATTTAGAAATTTTTATTTTTATGTTTCCATGGCAACAAGATGGAATTAGGTTCCTTCAGGGTAGGGTTGGTTTCTGGAGCGTAACTCATAAACCGTTTAATATTTTTTCATTAAACTTTGCAGGTCTGTCTGGTACATGCTGAACTGGTGCCTTTTGCTATTTAGAAATTTTAGAATTTTTTTTTTTTTTTTTACGTTTCAATGGCAACAAGATGGACTTAGGTTCCAAACTCTTTTTTTTTTTACAATTTCCATGACAAGTTCCACCTCGGTTAAAAAAGGTTAAGCCTTGTTTAGATTTAATTATGTCATAAATTCTGCAACAGGGGCGGGGGATATAGCCACGTTAGTTGAAAACTTTTGTTATTATTGTTATTATTATTATTATTATTGTCATTATTATTATTAATTACTTCTGAGAAGCTCAGAAGGCTTTCAGAAAGTTATGTTAGTAAGGGTTTTGCAGCCCCCACATCAACAGATTAGGGTAAATCTGGGTAAAAACTTAACTGTTTCTAAATTTGTGTATGATTCTTGTTGCTGTATCTTTTTATTGTGCTCATCAATTAAAGGTGTTTTTGTTTGTCATTTAATGTCACACTCAGATACATTCTCTAAATATGAGGGCGGCCTGTAAATATTTGAGTCTGGACCAGATAATCCTTGGATTGATATTGTGTACGTTGATCTACGCTGTCAGTTTAAAATGATATACTATAAACCAAGTCACCGGGCCACCAAATCCATTTAGTTGCCTCTTACAACCAGTAAAGGTTGTTGGAGACCTATTTTAACAGGGCAATCAAACATGGAGCGATCAGACAAATAATTTAGTTACACTTTTCTTATTTTATACAACTCAAACTCAAAAGAAGTTAAATAACATTCAATTCTTTCATATTACTACAGTTAATCTGTCATGCCTTGTAATATGAAAGAATTGGGTATTCTTTAACTTCTTTTGAGTAGTATATTTCAAATAGATTTTTTCTGTGGATTTTAGCTCCAGTCGGTCTGTAAACCATGAAATAAGTGTGTTGCCTTTGCATTGTTTACAATGATGTAAGAGCAATTGCATTAACGCACAGCACCCATGACACATCCTACCCATCTAACTGCATCATGAGCCAACATAGCACATCATCAACATGTTCCTTACAACATTCTCATTGACACAACTAATTCCACTCCAACCTGAATCAAACCCTCGACCACTCCAGACTGTCTGTCATAATCCAACCTAAATTAAATCCTTGACCACTCCAGACTGTCCCTCAAAATCCAACCTGAATTGAATCCTTAACCACTCCAGACGGTCCGTCATAATCCAACCTGAATCAAACCCTTGACCACTCCAGACTGTCCGTCATAATCCAACCTGAATCAAACCCTTAACCACTCCAGACTGTCCGTCATAATCCAACCTGAATCAAACCCTTGACCACTCCAGACTGTCCGTCATAATCCAACCTGAATCAAACCCTTGACCACTCCAGACTGTCCGTCATAATCCAACCTGAATCAAATCCTTGACCACTCAAGACTGTCTGTCATAATCCAACCTGAATCAAATCCTTGACCCTTGACCACTCCAGACTGTCAGTCATAATCCAACCTGAATCAAACCCTTGACCACTCCAGACTGTCAGTCATAATCCAACCTGAATCAAACCCTTGACCACTCCAGACTGTCCGTCATAATCCAACCTGAATCAAACCCTTGACCACTCCAGACTGTCAGTCATAATCCAACCTGAATCAAACCCTTGACCACTCCAGACTGTCAGTCATAATCCAACCTGAATCAAATCCTTGACCCTTGACCACTCCAGACTGTCAGTCATAATCCAACCTGAATCAAATCCTTGACCCTTGACCACTCCAGACTGTCAGTCATAATCCAACCTGAATCAAATCCTTGACCCTTGACCACTCCAGACTGTCAGTCATAATCCAACCTGAATCAAACCCTTGACCACTCCAGACTGTCAGTCATAATCCAACCTGAATCAAACCCTTGACCACTCCAGACTGTCAGTCATAATCCAACCTGAATCAAATCCTTGACCCTTGACCACTCCAGACTGTCAGTCATAATCCAACCTGAATCAAACCCTTGACCACTCCAGACTGTTAGTCATAATCCAACCTGAATTGAAACCTTGACCACTCCAGACTGTCAGTCTTAATCCAACCTGAATTGAATCCTTGACCACTCCAGACTGTCAGTCATAATCCAACCTGAATCAAACCCTTGACCACTCCAGACTGTCAGTCATAATCCAACCTGAATCAAACCCTTGACCACTCCAGACTGTTAGTCTTAATCCAACCTGAATCAAACCCTTGACCACTCCAGACTGTCAGTCATAATACAACCTGTGAATAAGCTGGACAACAGCACACAACCACAATAAACTGCACCAGTACACACACATCTATCAGGTATGTGTTGTGCTGTCCTGCAATCTCACACCATCTCTGCTGGTATGTTCAGACACAGCAAATACCTACAGCAACAGCTGGAACATTTCTCTTCTTTCATCTGTTCCCCCCCAGCAGATACTCTCATTCAAACATTCCCCCCCACCGCCAATATGGGACAATCTCATTCAAAACAAAACACCCCACCCCACCCCCCAGCAGGAAGGGTGTTCTGATGAAGCATACAACAGCTGTCTGGCAAACATCAGATAGAGATACAGATAAGATAACCTGGATTAGCCTCAAGCGAGATACTCTGATGGACAGATTGATTTGCTGAAAGTGAATACTTTTCTAAAAACATTCATTAGTTTCAGACATTGGTAAATGACACATGTATATCGATCAACATAATAATGATTGCAATTTTATGTCATTCAAGACACTTACCAATAACCCAAACCACCAATATTCCAGCTATCTGATAGCAGCCTGTAAATAATTGAGTCTAGACCAGACAAACCAGTGATTGATATTATGAGCAACGATTTGTACAATTAGTGTACAAAGACAATCAACCTAGCTACATTGAATTTCGGACCAATTATTTTGTAAACCAACTTATCAAAGATATTATGTTTCTTTTTAACACCACACTCAGCAATATTCTGGCTATATAGTGCCACATTACAGCGGCCTAGAAACAATATCAGGGCAAACTAGGATTTGGACCCTCGATCATAGGTTTCTTGCACCCTAATAGGGACAACTCTGCAGAGCAAATCATAGTGCTTTAGATGACTTGGCCACCAATGCCTAGAAAAGACCTGAATCTTCTATTAGTCATCATTCAAATGAACTTCAGCAAACCTTCAACTTTCTTGGTCATGCTTCTGACAAGGACATTGTGACCTTTTTTGTGTGCTCAATTTAAAAACAAAACAAAACAAAACCCAATGTTTTTGAGAGTTAAATACAATAAACAAATCTCATCAAAGTTCCAGGCTCTCCCACAATCCAGTTTCAGAGAAGTCCAAAGTTTACAGACCTACACCAACCTTGCTATAAGTACACCTAAACCACTGGCCCTGCAGGCTGAAGGACAGGAAGCTACATATTGTTCCACCTCACCAAGCAATCACTGCACCAAATTCAAACACCAAAATGTCAATTCCCTACGGGCAGTTCAGAGATATAGGCCTACCACTTAAAGCAATGACTGACTAGTCAATCATGATATTCCAATTCACTTACCCCACACTTAGATTCAATGGAAATGTATTTTTTAAACCCAATCACAAATTTGTCCATAAGGGGCAGGCCATTTGATATTTGCAGGGATGGGGGTTAAAAAAAATAATCTGTTAAATGTTAAATGCTGATCTTTAAAATGCTAGAAAAAAATAATTTGTCCACAGCTTTTACACCAAAAAACAAATCATTCACTAGACAGGCTGGATAAATACTTTACTAATTTGTTGTGAGTAAACAAAATATTTGGCTCCTCCATACAGGGAAAACATTGTATGTTTTGAAGCGCTGATTGACAAAAATATTCTGCCACATATAAAAATCACATCCCCTCTAGAATATGAATGATCAGCCCATAACCCCACCTAAAAGATATCTAAAGTCCTGGAAGCGTGTACAATCGGATCCTACAACAACTCTGTCATTACAGTCACCGTCCCATCAAGCCAAACATTTGATCAGGCAAATTAACATTGACAGGATCAATACAAAACAAATTACCTGTTTAAACCAAACTGGTGCCATCAGATATCCATGGCCTGCATCTCTTCAACACTAACTACAACATATCCACGCCTGAGCGTCACTTGCAAACTGATCAATAAACCAATAGCCTCCAATACCCTCCTGTATTCATTGGCTGGAGTCAGGGCCACCTCTACTGAGGACACCAACAGAATTAGAAGCTAACCCTACCTGCTCACTGATGTCTTTGATAGGCATTTAGAAGTTGGAAGAACATGAATACATGACACTCTTTGTTATAGATAACAACTTTTATTGAGAGCCAAGAAGTAGCTCTGAAATGTTGTCACAAAGAATAAAAGAAGTTGTTATCCATAAAAAGTGTCCTGAATCCTGTTACCTTTTATGTATTGCTACAATAAATTAGTTTTTAGATTTTCATCAAAATGTTTCATAAGTGTAAGGCAGAGCAATTTATATTCAACAACAATAATTTTAAAAATCAGTGCGGATGTATTAAGTCACTGGTTTGCCTGGTCCAGACAAGATTTTAACAGACTGCTGGTTGATATTCTTGACTTTTAATGCAAGCGTTTGTGAGTCTCAGAAAATATCACGACATCTTCAGAAACAATTGCCAGACCAGCGACTATAAACACCAAACTCAATAACTTCCCAAAATATAACCTTTTGGTTTCATTTATTGAAAAAAAGTTCAAATAAAGACATGAAATGCACATCATCAGCTTCCTGGACACCAAATTGAAATTCAGAAGATGAAATTTAAAAAAAACCCCATAATTTCTCATTCATTAATTGTATTATATAATAGCATCCTTGACTGCATTCATGTCTGAATCCTTGTCTGCATGCGTGACTGCATCCTTGACTTCATCTTTGTCCGCATCCATGACTGCATCCTTGACTCCTTGATTGCATCCTCGTCCGCATCCATGACTACATCCTTGTCTGCATCCATGACTGCATCCCTGTCTGTATCCTTGTCTGCATCCTTGACTACATCCATGACTACATCCTTGTCTGTATCCTTGACTACATCCATGACTACATCCTTGTCTGCATCCGTGTCAAGATCCTTGTCTGCATCCATGACTACATCCTTGTCTGCATCCGTGTCAAGATCCTTGTCTGCATCCTTGACTACATCCATGACTACATCCTTGTCTGTATCCTTGACTACATCCATGACTACATCCTTGACTGCATCCGTGTCAACATCTTAGTCTGCATCCATGATCTCATCCTTAATTGCATCTGTGTCTGCATCAATGACTACATCCTCGTCTGCATGTCATCACTACATCCTTGTCTGCATCCATGACTACATCCTTGTCTGCATCCGTGTCAACATCCTTGTCTGCATCCTTGACTACATCCTTGTCTGCATCCGTGTCAACATCCTTGTCTGCATCCATGACTACATCCTTGTCTGCATCCATGACTACATCCTTGTCTGCATCCTTGACAACATCCTTGTCTGCATCCTTGACTACATCCTTGTCTGCATCCGTGTCAACATCCTTGTCTGCATCCATGACTACATCCTTGTCTGCATCCATGACTACATCCTTGTCTGCATCCGTGTCAACATCCTTGTCTGCATCCTTGACTACATCCTTGTCTGCATCCGTGTCAACATCCTTGTCTGCATCCTTGACTACATCCTTGTCTGCATCCGTGTCAACATCCTTGTCTGCATCCATGACTACATCCTTGTCTGCATCCATGACTACATCCTTGTCTGCATCCGTGTCAACATCCTTGTCTGCATCCATGACTACATCCTTGTCTGCATCCATGACTACATCCTTGTCTGCATCCGTGTCAACATCCTTGTCTGCATCCTTGACTACATCCTTGTCTGCATCCGTGTCAACATCCTTGTCTGCATCCATGACTCCATCCTTGTCTGCATCCATGACTCCATCCTTGTCTGCATCCATGACTACATCCTTGTCTGCATCCATGACTACATCCTTGTCTGCATCCATGACTCCATCCTTGTCTGCATCCATGACTACATCCTTGTCTGCATCCATGACTACATCCTTGTCTGCATCCATGACTCCATCCTTGTCTGCATCCATGACTCCATCCTTGTCTGCATCCTTGACAACATCCTTGTCTGCATCCATGTCAACATCCTTGTCTGCATCCATGACTACATCCTTGTCTGCATCCATGACTACATCCTTGTCTGCATCCCTGTCTGTATCCTTGTCTGCATCCTTGTCTGCATCCTTGACTACATCCTTGTCTGCATCCCTGTCTGTATCCTTGTCTGCATCCCTGTCTGCATCCTTGACTACATCCTTGTCTGCATCCATGACTACATCCTTGTCTGCATCCGTGTCAACATCCTTGTCTGCATCCATGACTACATCCTTGTCTGCATCCTTGACTACATCCTTGTCTGCATCCATGACTACATCCTTGTCTGCATCCTTGACAACATCCATGACTGCATCCGTGTCAGCATCCTTGTCTGCATCCATGACCTTATCCTTAATTGCATCCTTGTGAGCATCCTTGTCTGTATCCATGACTGCATCCTTGACTACATCCATGACTGCATCCCTGTCTGTATCCTTGTCTGCATCCATGACTACTTCCTTGTCTGCATCCTTGACTACATCCATGACTACATCCTTGTCTGCATCCATGACTGCATCTGTGTCAGCATCCTTGTCTGCATCCATGACTACATCCTTGTCTGCATCCTTGACTACATCCTTGTCTGCATCCTTGACTACATCCTTGTCTGCATCCATGACTGCATCCCTGTCTGTATCCTTATCTGCATCCTTGACTACATCCATGACTACATCCTTGTCTGCATCCATGACTACATCCATGACTACATCCTTGTCTGCATCCATGACTGCATCTGTGTCAGCATCCTTGTCTGCATCCATGACTACATCCATGACTACATCCTTGTCTGCATCCTTGACTGCATCCCTGTCTGTATCCCTGTCTGTATCCTTGTCTGCATCCATGACTACATCCTTGTCTGCATCCTTGACTACATCCTTGACTACATCCATGACCACATCTATGTCAGCATCCGTGTCAGCATCCTTGTCTGCATCCATGACTGCATCCTTGACTACATCCTTGTCTGTATCCATGACTACATCCTTGTCTGCATCCTTGTCAGCATCCTTGACTACATCCATGACTACATCCTTGTCAGCATCCTTGACTACATCCATGACTACATCCTTGTCTGCATCCTTGACTACATCCTTGTCTGCATCCTTGACTACATCCTTGTCTGCATCCATGACTGCATCCCTGTCTGTATCCTTATCTGCATCCTTGACTACATCCATGACTACATCCTTGTCTGCATCCATGACTACATCCATGACTACATCCTTGTCTGCATCCATGACTGCATCTGTGTCAGCATCCTTGTCTGCATCCATGACTACATCCATGACTACATCCTTGTCTGCATCCTTGACTGCATCCCTGTCTGTATCCCTGTCTGTATCCTTGTCTGCATCCATGACTACATCCTTGTCTGCATCCTTGACTACATCCTTGACTACATCCATGACCACATCTATGTCAGCATCCGTGTCAGCATCCTTGTCTGCATCCATGACTGCATCCTTGACTACATCCTTGTCTGTATCCATGACTACATCCTTGTCTGCATCCTTGTCAGCATCCTTGACTACATCCATGACTACATCCTTGTCAGCATCCTTGACTACATCCATGACTACATCCTTGTCTGCATCCTTGACTACATCCTTGTCTGCATCCTTGACTACATCCTTGTCTGCATCCATGACTGCATCCCTGTCTGTATCCTTATATGCATCCTTGACTACATCCATGACTACATCCTTGTCTGCATCCATGACTACATCCATGACTACATCCTTGTCTGCATCCATGACTGCATCTGTGTCAGCATCCTTGTCTGCATCCATGACTACATCCATGACTACATCCTTGTCTGCATCCTTGACTGCATCCCTGTCTGTATCCCTGTCTGTATCCTTGTCTGCATCCATGACTACATCCTTGTCTGCATCCTTGACTACATCCTTGACTACATCCATGACCACATCTATGTCAGCATCCGTGTCAGCATCCTTGTCTGCATCCATGACTGCATCCTTGACTACATCCTTGTCTGTATCCATGACTACATCCTTGTCTGCATCCTTGTCTGCATCCATGACTGCATCCTTGACTACATCCTTATTTGCATCCTTGACTACATCCCTGACCTCATCCTTGACTACATCCATGACCACATCTATGTCAGCATCCTTGTCTGCATCCATGACTGCATCCTTGACTGCATCCTTGTCTGCATCCGTGACTGCATCCGTGTCAGCATCCTTGTCTGCATCCTTGACTACATCCTTGTCTGCATCCTTGACTTCATCCTTGTCTGCATCCATGACTGCATCCTTGACTACACCCTTGTCTGCATCCATGACTGCATCCTTGACTGCATCCTTGACTGCATCCTTGTCTGCATCCTTGACTACATCCTTGTCTGCATCCTTGACTACATCCTTGTCTGCATCCATGACTACATCCTTGTCTGCAACCATGACCTCATCCTTGTCTGCATCCGTGTCAACATCCTTGTCTGCATCCTTGACTGCATCCTACCATGCATGGCTATATACATAGCATAACTTTCATGACTTGCAATGTTTTAAAGGTAAATAAACAAATACTATCAGCCCTATGACTTATTCAAACTTTTCTTTGTTTAAGTACACTATGTAAATAAAAATAGTTTTAGCTGTTGTAACAATATATCAGCCATATCAGCAGAACATCATAAAATGGGATTCATACCTAATAACTATATGGGAATCGACCCCAGTTAAATGTCGTAGCAAGATAAACTAGATATATCTCTTAGCTTGATGTAGGAGAGAAAGCAAAATCGACAAAGGTCGTAGATGGATACCATCCAGGAGCATGTGTATGCTGCAGACAAACCAAGAATTCCTGATTCGAAAACCACAAGCAGATCCTGACACTTCCAAGTGACTAAGTTTTCACAGTACTAACATCGCTAGTCCATCGATGTACCCTTAAGACCAATCAAAAAGCATTGTGAGGTAATATTTTAGCTGATATACTGTTAACCTCTGGCAAACTTCCCAAAAACTTCAAATTGAGTCACATCCTGTCTAAAGAATATTTTCACATTGAAACACAACCAGCTCACCACAACCTTTTTCCCATTTTACCTCCGACAGTGGACAGACTTTCGCTCCAACTGGCAAATTTGCAAATTTACATTTCACAAGTATCATCTATGTAGTGTTTGCCTGAGTGCATTAACTTGTTTGATGTGGCGTCTGTTCATCATCAGCATCCTCAGGGTCATGTTTGCTAATCTTCGGGGTAATGCAGCTAATCACAACGCAGGAATAATCCTGTCCCTCACTAGGATTAATAGCTTTCTAATGCAGTATTTAACATCAGAGGGATGGAGCTGGGATGAAAATCAGACGTCTATTAACTCAGGCCTTTCATCGCTTACAGGCCTCGACACCACAGTTATTGGGCTGATTATTTGTGCCTTGAGATATGAAAAGCTACAGAAGATGGTTACTACAATGAGATTAACATTTGGTATTTATGGATTTAACAAAGCACCTGAGCACCTTTAACTTGATAAGCTACATTCTTATAGCCTCACTTGAAAGGGGAACAAACAACAGTGACCAAAAGGCTGGTTAGATGGTCCTTGAAGTCAGTCACTTTGGGGAGTCTGGCCATTATTGGATGGAAACCGAAGGCAACGGCTTCAGAGAAGTGAATGTGTCACTTAGGTTTAAAAGGTTTCAGTGAGTGAGTGAATGAGCAAGTGAGTATGGTTTTATGCAACCTTTAGCAATATTCTAGAAATATCAGGGCGGGGGACACTAGAAATGAGTTTAAAGGAAAACAATGCTTTAACTCAATCAACATTTTAATTAGCCCCCATAATCACTGGCTGCCAATTAGCATCAGCTTCCTAACAAACTCGGGGCTTTGGACCAGCCAGATTGCAATTAGGGGACCTCTTTGACAGCGAGGGGGAATCCCCTTGAATCCTCACTTTTGATTGGATGATGTTTCCTGGCATAAACCCACAACTGTGTATTTGTCTTCATTCACTTGATGCTCAGTTGACGACTTTATAACAGGTATAATTAGTGGTAGAACCAGTAAGATTACCTTACAAAGTCTATGCAAAAAGACTCTGTTCACCCCTGCCTCTGAGGGTGTCAAGGATATATAGCAGTCAGTGGTTTGCATTTGACATTTCTCGTCGTTTTGGGTAATTATTCATTCTAAGATTGGGTCATAAATCCAAGTCTGAGTGAGTAAGTGAGTGAGTTGGGTTTAACGCCGCTTTTAACAGTATTCCAGTTATATCGCGGCGTGTCAGCTTAAAGTGATGCAGGTCTTAGACGTTTACCACTTCGGTGAAACCCACGAGCACGGGTATGGTGCTGACAAACCTAGAAACATAATCGGGGCGAACCGAGATTTGAACCCACCATCATAGGTTTTTCGCATGCCCAAGGGACGCAACTCTGCACAGTGAATCGTGGCGCCTTAGTCGACTGGGCCACCCGTGCCCCCAATCCAAGTCTGTTGTGGTGTACATACTACATGTTATGTAATATGTACCTGGCAGCACAACAAGAGAGGAATGATCAGTTGAGTTACAAAAAACATTGTTCCAAGGATTAAACAATAACACATAGATTGATTAATGACTTTTACCTTTCAGAGTGGATTTGTCAAAAGTAATTGGTTATATATGTAGGTTGACTAAAGCAAATGGAATACATCAATATTTGGGCATGAAGTGCCCATGTAAAAACAACATACTTTGTTCAGTGGATTAGCCGATAATATGTTAATTCATTGCTAATTTATTTAAAGAACGATGGACATCATGAACATAGTTGTAATATGTGCTGTCTCTGCTGACCAATGAGACATATGACACCTATGTAAAACACCTGAAACAAACTTATGTGATCAGTTGAGAGACAAACACAGGTTGTAATATCCCGAAACACAATATATATTTTAAAATAGTACATTCATACAAAGACATGTGACATCAAACAAGTTTCTTTGTACAGCTGCAGATATATAGGATATTATTCCGTTATACAAGTCAAACCAGTCAAAATTATAGTCCATAATAAGCAAATTATGATTCTGCGAAGAAAACACTGATTCATATTTAAATACTTTCAAAGTTGAAGCAGTGTTTCCCTATAAAGGGCCAGTATGTCGACCATTCTGAGGCATTGTTTGCAAATAATAGCCAATAAACTCCAAGCTTACTCAGCTCTGCTCTGATTATTCCGCGAGAGAAGTTTCTGCTCCCGTGACCAAACTGTTGGGTGTAGGCTTATCTTGTGAAGAGGCTTTTCTCTTGTTTGTAAACAAAGACAGTTATTCTAAAATAATAAGACTGGCCTAATGCAAGCCTTTCTGTGTGTTTTACATATTGTTTTGCATAATTATATTGATATGCTACTACAACTGCGACAGTGCAGTCACTGACAATATAGCTTTACACATCAAAGTAACCATATCGCTAGCCGTAAAGGCTTCGATGACAGCATGTTGAGGATATATACGCAAATGGAAATAGTTTTGACTTGTCTTAAATTAAACAGAAGAAAAACATATGCAATATCTTGAATGGACTGTGAAAGATGTGATTGTGGTACCAGGCTGGCTCTGGGTAGGAGAGTGATTGGCTTCATTCAACGGAGGCATTTATAATGTAAACCAGGCTTTGATAAACACTGGCCTCTAATCCAATCAAGCTGGCAGTTAGTATTTTATAACTCATACATAAGAAAAACACACAAGCTTTCACTTCAATTTGCCTCTAATAATATCATGACTAAAGCCAGTTCTTCTGTGCAGCGGTCGGGGTTGTCGGCTCTGCTGTGTGGTGCTTTATTGTTTTGGTTTGAGAATTGAATCACACATGAACCAAAGATGTTAAGTCACACTCAGGAAATATTTCATGCATGATTTAAAAACACCGAAACAGTCGATGTACTGTCCCGTAACATAGTGTACCCATGTGGGAATCAAACCCGGGCCTTGGCAGCACGAGTGAACGCATTAATCCTCAGTTTAGTTATTCACAAGATTCCCAATTTAGTTAGCTACAAGAAACCCAGACTAGTTGGTGACCACTGTGAAGATCCTCAGTTTAGATGGTTCCAAGATGCCCACTTTGGTAACTTACCAGATCTGCAATTCAGTTTGTGACCATAAGTTCCCCAGTTCAGTCAGTGAATACAAGATCCCCAATCAATCGACACTAAGATCCTAAATTGCACCAACTGTCACAACCAGCACCAAGTAAAGGGCACAACTCTGTGTGACACTGATTTACACCATGCACCATACACATCCTTCATCCTCAACTCTCAGCACAACCTACAACACTGACAACACTGACATCAACAACATTGAACATTTCCTCTACAAGCATCCCCACACCAAACTGACCTTGTACGCCAGGCAAACTTGCACAATCCATCATGTCCTCAGAGCCACTACTCCTTGTAATAGTGTAGTCCCACTCACAGCCCTCTGCAGTCACACACCAAGTCTCTACTCATCTTAATCAATGGGGACCAATGGGGACGTAGGTGATTACCAGCCAGCTCCATTGTCCACCAGTATCTCCAACCAAATGGACATTGGCGCCAGGCAATAAGGCTTTATATTACATTGCTGGCAAACATATAAATCATCTTCAAGAGTCTATGCCACAAGTCTGATTATAGCGATCTGCCACAGTTTCTATACTATTGGGAGTTGGCTCTGGGTTTTGCAGAATGTCTGAGAACAACACGTTCAGAAGTGGCAGAACAGTCATCAACCTGTTACATGCCAAACAACAGTGAACAAACATTGAGTGAGTAAGTGAGTGAACAGTATTTCAGTTATATCATAGCTTTTCAGCTGATGTGGAAAGGTAGCCTGAAGAGATCCAGCTCCTGGACATTATCCATCTTGATGAAACCTGTCACATTGAGCATGGGTATGGTGCTGACAAACCAAAAATCAGAATCAGGGCAAAGCGGGATTGGAACTCACTACCACAAGAAACTGGTACACCTATGAGATGCAAATCTGTGCAGCAAGTTGCAGTGTCTTCATTGACTGGTCCCTTGTACATACTGGCGGAGACTTAAGCAGAGTTCCAGATAACTTTTTGAGCAATTGAGTTTTTACTCGAAGGTTTCTATTTTAATCGGGTTATTACATTTTTTATTGGGTAACCAATATTTTTTCACTCATCTACTTATCACTCTATTGGGTTTTTCCAAAAATGAGTAAGCATTTTGAGATTTTAAAAATTCAAAAAAAATGAAATAATATTTTAGATGTATATAACGGTTCATAAATATAGGCTTGACTTGGAAAGTAAATTATCTCGTTATTGTGTTTTGGAAATTAGCTCCGTAGTACGCATGTTGAAAAAGCTTCATTGGGTATTTACACGTGCTGTTTTCAAACAATTGAGTTTTCCATTTAATGAATGCGTTTCTGTACTCAAGGTAACAGAGCCAGTCTATATAGCAACAAACCAAACAAGCAAGACAGGCATCTTGTTTCCAAAACCTCAGTGTCCTAACTGTGCTTACAATTAAAACCAAAACCAAATCTATAAAAAAAGATCCCTTGAAAGATTTGTAGGGGGAAATGAGGAATGATAGAAAAGAAAGAAATGTTTGGAATGAAAGAAAACAGAAAACTTATTATGTGTTTTCACTCTTCAGCAATTGACTTCTTCAAAGTGAGGCTCTTTATTGCTTCCCATATATCAGTATTTAAATATAAATTTTGTTTTTCTTGCCAGTGAATATATACAATTCAATTTACAACTTAAATCTGGCCTGATCGGAATACAATCAATTAAAAGAAACTCATTGAAAAGATTTAGTTTATGTAATCAATTTAGTTTTCTCTTTAAAACAATAACCACACATACAAAACAACAGACAAGCAATCAGTCATTTTAAGCCTCACGGCATTGTTCATTTCATTTTTTCATCTAGTTTTGAGCCTCAATGAAATGAAAATATGGTCTAATTGAACAGAATCATGATGGTTTTCGTATGGAGTCCTAGACTATGAAGATTTTTTTTTTTAATGTGGTCATGTATCTACACAGTTAATTTATTTTAGAGTAGTTTCCATTGCGGAATTTTGACAGTCAGAGGTAATTTGTAAAGACTGAATATCACATTGGAATTGAAACCAGTTTAGCTTAAAATTAAGATTTAAGTACAAGCAATGACAGTCAGAGTTTGAAATAGAGTCAGCCCATTAAAGCTTGAGGCTACAGAACCAAAATTCCAAATGTAAATGGTAAATCTACACACTGGATCATGATTTCAACTGTCATGCTTCACATCTTGACCTGATAATGTGTTTCCTAAACAAGAACGTTTTTGGTTTGGAAATTACTACTGTAACTGACACAACCATGACAACACAAATGCTTCTCTATGTATCTATGTAATCTTATTTTAAATCACATGTTTTACTCCAATACACTAAGTCTCTGCGTGAAGATCTGACAACCCCTCCATACATGGTAGTGTCTGGGGAACCATGAGCGAACTTTGACTGCCCAATTTAAATTAATGATGCATGTGTCCTTGAGCCAATCAGAAGTCAGCTTCCATCCTAAAATAATAGTGTTGCCTTTATTATATTGCATTCATGTATATTCATTTTCCGACATACTGGTTTAATTGCTTTGTTCACTCGTACCCAGAATTTAGAAGCCTTGATGCTGATTGGCTGATGGGAAAGTTCAGCCTGACGCGACCTCCTATGAAAGGTTTTGAGGCCTCCATGCAAAGAGGTATCGCATTGGAGTAAAGATCTGTTTTTAATGAAATTGTGCTGTATGTGGGACTTTTGTTAGACACAGTGCTTCAATTATTTTCTCAGAAAAGAGGAGCTATTTCTAACTATTTCTTTCTTTCTTTACAAAACACATTTTATTCACGACATCAAGAACGAGTGATAAGTTGCCACCCATGTCCATGTTTTAATATTATAGGGGCTCAGATGTTATTCTGGGGCTGGTGTGATAGCCTAGTGAGGGATTTATCTACGATTCCCCTGGCTTGTTCAGTCGGTATTTTCTGAAATTCATGGGTATTTTAATATTTCAATAATGCAAAAAAAGTGAAACTTAACATTAAACCTCTTTCTGTTTATTGGTCCTGTTATCAGTGAAATGCAGTCACATCTGGAAAGCCATTAACATTAGTTATTGCTATAATCTATAATAACACGACTTGGCAATACTTATTCCAATTTGGGAACTTAAACTTCAGACTTTGGGCCAAACATCATCCTCTGAGCAGGTTTAGATAAACCTCCGCTAGAGGCTAAAGCACTGGCTCATCACGACAAAGACCCAGGCTTGACTCCCTACATGTTGTTATGGCTGACATAACGTTCCATGTGGCATAACTTGAGTTTCATTTTGTTTAAATGTGTTTAAATTTTTATCTAAAAAAATGAAATTAATGTTTGTGGAAAGCCAAATGGGTAAATTTTCACCCCAGTTAGACAACAGTACACTTGATATCTTAAAAGAAAAGTAGGGACAAATTGAGTGCCTGACAAAATATATCACAAGTTGATTATTAATAAAATGATGACTTACATTTGCGTAGTGGATAACAGAAGATAATGAATTTGAGCTGAAGAGAGCAAATATTTTCCAACTGATAGCTGCTAGCAGCAATATTCGATCTAATTATCTTTGGGGTAAAAGATTAGATTATAAAAATAGGTCCATGACACTGTAGCTCACCTGTATATAAAGTGAACAGTTCGATATGCCAACAAAGACAATCACTCAACAAAAGTTGGAGTCAGTTAGGTATTTAAATATTACCTGCATAATTACAAAAGAAAAATGATACTAAAATCTAATGGTTTGAACAAAATATAGTCAAATCCCGTTAATCTGACACTCGTTAATCCGACAATTAGCTATATCCGACACTAATCATGGGAACCGATTAAATCAGTGCTATTTAGACCCGTTAATCCGACAGTCTTGCACTCCGACACACCTATTTTGCAACAAATTACCGAAATCACTCATTAATCAGTCTTGTTAATCTGACACAGTGATCAGCGTACTCTGTGGTCATCTGCCCGCGAGTTCACAGCCCGTGTTTTGATGCGAGATGAGTCGGCTAATAGCTGCATATTACAACGGCTGCAGAGATAAACTTGCTTAACAATAACAATTAATGCTTTAAATAAAGAAAACAGGATTAATCAAATGCTTATATTACCCCAATCTTATTAAAATCAAATAATCATTTTTCGTTTATTATTACGTGTTTGTATCGTTATCCATCGTGTAGTTGTCCGATTTTTTATAACGAACGTTGATACTACTTAATTTTGTTTATCCGACATACTGGTTAATCCGACACAATCATATGCAACTTACCATGTCAGATTAACAGGTCTTGACTGTGTATCATCACAAGAAGAAACAAACCCACTAAGTTCAGCTTCCTCAGCCTGGCAATATCAGAGGGGAATAAGTTTACAGAACCAAATATGCATTTTGAGAGGATTTAAGACCATGGTCAAAACAAGGTAAAACAAAATGGAAGATACATGTTGAGCCCCACTCACAACTACACTTTCACTTTCATTAGAAATTAGAACTGATTGAGTAGTGGCCATTTGGGCATGGTCGAAGTTCAAAGGTCAAATCAAGGCAAAATTGCAGTGAAAAAGAGAACACATATCTTCAGCCCAACTACACATACACATATGCCAAATTTGATATTGGCTGTCCAATGGCCACAAGTGGCTTTTTTCAATACGACTCGTATGACTGTTGGGATGTCCATAGTGAAAATCAAAGGAAAATGTGTTTGTGAAAGTTTTTGTGTCATAATTGGTGTGAACAAGTTTCAGCTTCATAGGTGCAGTGGTTTCGAAGAAGAAGATGTTTACAGATGATGCATGATGCACACTGCACGACAAGTAACAGATCATGGCGTGAGCCTACTTGCTCTTTGGGCAGATGAGGTAAAACGTTAACTTACAGCAGTGTCAGGATCTGCCAAACACTTCTCACTGAGAACGTATTGACTGCTCATGTAAATGCTATTGAATCCTCAAAGAGTCATGTCAGCAATAGAAATGGGCACTAGTCCTATAGTCCTTGCCAAACTACCCAATAGTTAAGGTATCATAAGGACTAGTAGAAATTTGCCATTTTTAAGCAGTTTGCTACGAGTTATCATTATAAGGACTAGTGGATGAACAATGTTAGTTTCTATCGCTTCATGTGCATTCCATACTGGTAGCTGCTTGGATAAAACTTGTTGTTACACAATGCCACACTCAGCAATATACCAGGGTGTCATACAAAACAACCTCAGTGCTACGACTGTCGTAAGTCTATGTTAAGGTATGGGAGCTATGATCACCTTAGCTCTAAGATCTGTTTGTACAACGGTACCCAGCTGTATAACATGCAACCTGTACAAAATGAAGCCTTGACCAGACAAGCCAGTGACTTA